GTAAAATCATCTGCAAGCTTTTTAAAACATATATTCTTTTGCTTGTCCATTCCTCCCCTCCCAAACAAAACAAAATAGCTTCATAAATGAGATTATTTGGGAGTAAGATCCCAGAATCTAGTTTTAAAAGCTCCCCTAATGAGTTTGCTGGTAATTAGTGTCAATCCATGAACCAGCATTTGAGTATCACTGTTAGATTTTTGTGACAAGAGTTTAAGCATTTTTAACTTATCAGTCATAATTCCCTCTTTACTCTTAACTTTGATAACTCTTTTTATTATTATTTCTTTTCTCTGTATTTCCTTAATTATTTCATTACAAATTCTCCTTTCTGAGGAGCCATCCATCCCATTTCACATGCTAATTATCAGATGCTGATCACAAGCAAGATGTTTAGCCATGACGCTCAGCCCTTCCCTTCTATGCTTATTCTTGCTTTCTGAAAGTAGGTGAAATAGGAGGTGGTATCCAATATACAGGTTAACTTCTAGTTCTGAAAGAAAAGGCTAGCTTTTTATGAAAGAAAATGGACAAGTGCAGCCCTGACTGCTGTATGTCTCTCACATCATGTTGTCTGCAGCTGAGCCACTAATGGGCAGTAGTTTGCTTGAAGAGGCTTCAGTACCCAGTAAAAACCTGGTGTCTATGAATTCCCAGCCCAACCTTGGTGGAGAGTCCTTGAACCTACCAAATACCAATTCTATCCTAGGAGTTGATGATGGTAAGAATTTCAACTTGCCTTTATTTGGGGAAGATGGGCTGTAACTAGAGACTAAAGAATGGGGTTGTCTCCAAATGGAGGTTTTAATTAATTTTATTTCTTGTGAGTAGCTGTGGTATAATTGAGTAGCATTTGTGCTCTGTCTCTGGGGTTGATATGTAAATTAGGAAAAAAAATTTATTATAATGATGCTATAACAAAAGAAGAGAAAAATTTTTAAGAGGAAAATAATCCATAATCCTAGCATTCTAGCCCAACTATTTCTATCTTTCCTATTGCAGTTATGGAAGAACTTAACTTTTAAAACATTTAAACAGAACATAACCAGGTTTTACAGAGGAGATATAAAGCAATTTCTCCATACCTTCAAAAGCCATATCTTCTGGAGAAAAGAAAGGGCTCTCTAGGAAACAGTTGCTCCTCTCTGGTATAGAAATTTCACCCAAGTTACACAGGCCAGGCCCTCTTCTCTGAAAAACTTAACAGGTGAGGTCAGCATGCATTTATTCAGTGCCTACTCTGTGCCTGGCACCATGGGAAAGATAAAAGTAGAAGACAGGGACCTCAAAATCTAGTTGAGAAGTCAAAACTTACACATGGGAAACAGCATTGAGTGAATAGAAGATGGTATATAAGCAAACATTAAATTGTATAGTCTGGAAGAGCAGTCAGTATAAGCTAGAAAGCCCCTAGAAAAAACTTTGATTTGAAGGCTAAGTAGTTTTTGTATAAACTCTTTTCAGGAGATCTTCATGGTGATCCCACTGATGAACATTTAATAAGTCTAAGATCTGTGTTTTAGTTATATCTTAGTCAGTTTGGGGCATGAGTGACAATATTTATGTATCATGTATGGAACTAACAAGGCCCAGAGTGTGGTCCACAGTAAGCTTCCTTTGTTTCATGAGAGTTACTAGTGGTTAACTGAAGCATGGAGCACAGACATTGCATGGAGCTACTTTGCTAGCCTTAAGGAAGGGACACCAGGTAGGAACTTTGAAGCTAGGTTTAAGTTCTTGACCTGCACATATTGTGCTATGTGTATCACTGGTGACTGCTTTAAGGGTTGGCTCTGGTTTCTTGATTTGCCTGCCTAAGCAGCTTTTGCCTTGTTTCATACGGTTTTAATCTAGTTAACAGTGCTAAAGCCATATTACTCTCAATTGGTGTATTGAAAAATGGTTAATTCCTATATCAAGATTTTTTGCCTTTTATTCCCATCCCCCTTTTGTAATACTTTCCAAATTCTGGTAATGATTATCAGATAGGAATTAATTTGGAAGAAATAGGAATGTGGGATTTAGTTTTTCGGGGAACAGTTTTTAGAGTTCTTAATAAGAGACTTGATAATGCAGGTAGGTATTATCTGTGGATTCCCTTTTCATTGAAACATTTTTCTGCTGTTTCACAGAGGTGCTTGCTGAAGGATCCCCACGTCCCCTGTCTTCAGTGCCTGATGTGACACATCACTTGGTGACCATGCAGTCAGGGAGGCAGTCATTTGAGGTTTCTGTCTTAACTGCTGTAAATCCACAGGAGGTAAAACTGTCTCTTGCCCTTACTTTGTTCCTGTGGAGACTGACGTGGGAAGGATTGGGAATCTAATTTAGAGGATCTGAAAAATTCTCCAATTTTAACTTCCTGGAAACTCTGACTAGAATATCTTCCTGCAAGCTAAATGTGAGTCCAGCTTTGAAAAGAGCCTGGGTGTTAGGGTCTCCTGAATTGGGAGATTGGTCAATTACAGTTGAGACTCTCAGCTTTAATTTTTTGTATACATACCTTAATGAATATCTGCTCCTACTGTTCTCTGCATCACTGAGTTTGCAGCTTTTATTTTATAAAGAAAATAACATCCTGGGACAAAGTGGTCCTCGAACAAAAAAGGTAGTGACAAAATCATTAAAAATTTATTGTTCATATTGCTGGGGTTCTATGTCTGGGAGATACCAGACTGAACCAACTGAACATATAGAAAAGTATTCACTAGCTCATTGAATGAGAACCATCATCTAAATCAGAGGAGTTTTAGGTTTCTAAGTACTCACAACTCTATAGTCTTGACTCTGACCCAGAATACAATGAAAACCATCAGGATTCTAGAATCTTAGGATATTTATTGGCCTTCTGTCACTATGGCAACAAAATACCCTGAGTCCGTAAGCCAAACTATTGTTTGTGTAGTCACGTACTCACTAGCTGGTGAAGGAGGAATCTATACTTACAGGGAAATCAGAAATAGTGGAACCAAAAATTTTATGTCAGTTAGTGTTAGCCCAAGTACAGGCTGCAGGTTCAAGTAGAAGTTAAAGGAATGGAAGGCTATTCCCAATGAGTTCTGTCTGAGAGCTAGAACCACTCAGAAGTTCAGGGATTCCTGGGACTTAAAAGAATACCTTCCCTGTGATGAAGGGGGACAAGCCTGAGAGACTCCCACAGGGTGGCAACTAAAAGCTTTCTACCCTCAAGGTTTCTATTAAAAGGTGGTTTTGTACAATAATTGATGAAATTGGGTTCCATTTTATTATGAAAAGAAAATGACAGGAATAATATAGTGAAATCCACTCAGACCTTTACTTAGTATGAATTCTTTTCCCTTTTGTTTAGTGGTAGCTTATTCCAGATTTCATTTTACTCTTTCACAGTTACTAAACCAAGGAGATTTAACTGAAAGACGGACATGAGCATGGGTGCTGACTCCTGGAAGAGCAGCTCTCTGATCCCAGAGTGCATATAGTGGGAACAGGTTGCTTATGGCTGATGATCTGCCAGAACCAAAACGAATCTGTGAACAAGACCCCGCTTTTCCTCTGTTCATCTTCCCTGGCATAGAAGATGAATGCAGGAGAGCTTCTCTTCAGACTACCATCTGATCCAGACAAGGAAGAAGCAGTGAATGTGTGAGTTGGGTAACTGTACCTACTTGCTTCCCACTGCAAAATTTTGGGATGGACTTCTCCCAAAAGTGAATTTGATTATGTGTTGGCTGAAGTTTCTCAGTATGACTGTTGAGAGGAGATTTTCCTTTGAAGAGCTTTCATCACAGACTCAGCTGTCTTTTCAAATGGATGAACAAAGTCCTGCCACCAACCGTAAAACTTCACCAAGAAGTTGAGCTTTCAAGATGCCTTGTTGCTTTGGAGAAGGGAGTGATGTCAGTTCTGTTGTGACATTCTCCCTTTAGCAACCTGAGTAAGAGACTCTGCCACTGGGCTGCAAATAAATAAATTACTTGAATCCCTACTTGGCCCAGGCTGAGGTACTATGTTGTCCCATACACCTCTACTTGGTCACTTTATTTGTTTATGGAACATACAGTAGCATGTTAAAAAATTTTTTTTTAAGTTAAAAATCACATGATTAAGAGCTTCAATTGTTTTCCCTTTAAATAAATGAACAGCCCAGTCAGTTCTTTGGCTCCTTGTTTTGGACAAATTTGTTTTCTTAGGAGATTAAGAAAGTTTAGTCTTTCCCTTTAAGATAAGGAACTGATTTACCCTTAGGATTCCATGCAGGTAAAACTCAGGAGTCTTGGGGAACATGACATGAACATCTTCATCTCTAACTAGTAAACCCAGATGATAGTTATCACAGTATCACCCTGTCATCACCAGGAGGGACTGTGTCTGAGTCTGGAAAATTGGCAATAACAACAGATACTTTTCCCAGAAAGAAAAAAAAAATGAGAAAGGTGCTTCCGTTAGAGTAGGCACTCTTGCTATCATCCTGTCTACAGCTACTGAGAGAGAATATCTAATAGGTGAGAAGAAAAGTATTCCAAAGGTCACTTACTAGTAGAAAATCATGGCTGTTAGAGAAATTTCAATTTATTTAAAATGAACCTCATGCTGACACACACTCAACAGTGGCATATTCTAAACAGATAACAGGAAAAAACTGATGTTTTAATAAAGTAATTATAGTTCTTAATTTGTTAATGACATGTATAATCATTCTGTGCTATGTAGACTGAGTTTGTGTCAACCATATTAATGCCAGCTTTTACTTCCTGTAGCCTTTTATACTAGAGCGGGTTCTCAACCAGGGACATTTTACGTGGGACATTTGAGAATATCTAGAGATGTTTTTGGTTGCCACAACTGGAGAGAAGGGGGTTACTGGCATCTAAGTGAGTAGATGCCAGGGATGCTGCTAAACATCCTACAGTGTACAGGACAGCTCCCTCTCCCTACTCCCAACAAAGATTCATCTGGTCCAAAATGTCAATAGTGCTGAGGCTGAGGAACCCTGTACTAGAAGCTGCAGCCTTGTCATCCCCCTGGTTTTTGTTTTGCCCATATAATATTTTCAAGTAATTTTAACTCGTAGGCTTCTGTTGAAAACATGATTGATCTGGCAATTCTGGGCCTATATTCCAGCAGACACTCCAGTCTCTACTATCTCCTATCTTACACTCAGCCCATTTGACCGATTTGTTTCCTGACTAGCCCCTGTAGGCATCTGGGCTTGTGCCCTTTTTCTGTATCTGGAATTTAATTGTGAGGCACAAAGCAAGAATCCTTAACTCGACTCTGATCCCTCCACCCTCAGCTTCTCCACTTTGATTTACTTCAGCCATTCCCTGTTATCTGCTACTTTTCCCCATTCTCTAAGAGTAGCTGTGACTCAAAATGCAAGTTTTTGCCTGCCTTGATTCAACCCCAGGTTAGCTGCTTAATATTATTGAAAAGCAGTAATTTTAAGTGTACTGATTAAGAAAGTGATTTGAGATTATCTAGCAATTCATAAGACAGCTCCTCCAGTTCTTTCTTGGGGCTTGTAGGCTGTTCTAGAGATTCTTCTAAATCCTGCTGTGGATTTCTGGTGCCGAGTTTTGTAGTTTCATGAGTGCTGCAGAATAATTTAAAGCATTATGAAATAAAATTTTTAATTAAAGCGTTATGTAAAGCTTAAGGATGGTCTCAACATTTTCATTATTTTATATGGGGTGCAAAGGGAAATTTCTAGGCAGAAAATGGGGATAAGAACTAGGGGAAGGGGCCATTAGGACCTAAGCAGCAGAACAAAATTGAGAATAATGGAGATACTATGCTTTTCTCCCTCTGACATGCTCTCAATGGAGGAGGTGATGCTAATGAGGTACTTTTAAAGAGTGCTATAAAGCTGTTTTATAGGAATTGAAAATATACTTGATTTTTCTTCAAAAGTGGAGTGGAAATACTCTGATGGCATTGGAACTGGAATGGAAAAATGATATTTCAAATTTTAGGAATCTGAACCTAATATTCAATGGTTATATTTTATTCACAACTATACTTCTCTCCAAATTTAAATGTGATACTTAGACATCTCTGGGTTAGTTAGTATTCTATAAGTACAGGATTGTGATCTCAAAATTTGGCTGTTCTAAAGGTTCCTCCCAGTGGCATTATTAGGGACAGCACCTTAGGGAGCTGCAGGATGACAGCATCTCAGATTACCTGGGATAATCATGGCCTTCTAACTGTCCCTTCCAGTGTGTAGCCCTGGTGCCCTGACCCTTGTTCCTCACAAAGTCTTCATCCAGCCCGGCTTGCTTCAGTGTGTCATGATACCGCTGTTCTGCTCCTTTCCTGGCAAGGTCCTGTGGAATGGAAATTAATGTCCTGTAGCTGTCTTGTGACTTACTTGGTAATTCTAAATTACTTGTTTAATCTATATCCTTACTGCCCACCATACCACTTCCACTAGTGGGCAGAGATTTGCATGAAAACTACTTAGGGCTTTGTTTTCAAGCCTTAAAGTGCATAGGAACTACCTGGAGATTTTGTTAAAATGCAGATTCTTATTTGGTAGGTCTCAGATGAGGCCTGCAATTTTGTGTTTCTAACAGTCCCAGGAGATGCCAGCTGTTGATTAGAGAGCCACACCTTTGAGAAGCAAGGACTTAGATTTTTGGAAGTGCATGATGAAAATGATGGAATAAAAACTGAAGATTTAAAAGCAACCAAACCATCATCAGGAGCACTAAAATATAACAAAATAAGCTGCACTAGTAGGACTTTTAACAGGATAGACAGCCTGCATGTGGACCAGAAAAAGGTTATTTTTTTAAGAGTTTGAGAGCAAAATCATATAGAATACTGAATGATCTGTTGAGATCTGCGTGTGAGCTTGCTTGAAAAAAATTAACATGAAGAGGAAAGGTCAACATGAGAGATTTTGGACCATACAAGTTGATAAGTAAATCTGAGACAGTCCAGTGTGTGACAGGTGTATGGACGGGAAGGTATGGACCCAGGAAGTGCCTAGAAAATGCACTAGCCTAGAAGATGGAGATAATGCCCAGCAATTGAAACCAAGTCACTAGGGAACCCCAACTTTTGTCTTGGAACTCTGAAGATGAGAGGGACCCAGGGAATCTGATGTAGCCCAAAGCTACCTGGGCTGGTGGCTTTTCTAAGGCTGCTCAAGTAGCTCTAGAGCTTTCTTAGGGAGGTCTCAACTGAGTCGAACTCCCTACAAGTCTAGAGAACATCTTAAAATGATTCTTCCAGCCTGAAAGGCACTTAACCTGGAAGGGGTCTTGTGGGGTGCTTGTGAGCATCCCACCCTGTGGAGATCTATAAATGTGCCACAGCTCTAGAGGCTGCGGCTGCCCAAGGGACCAGCACTGCATGATGTCTTCTCAGCACTATGAACAGTGGCTCCAGACAGCAGAAAAGACTGGATTTTCAGTCACGTTATTGAGTTAAAGATGTTCTTACTAACACAGCCAAACTGTCATTGTGTCGTATCTAACCCCACCCTGATTCAACTGAAAGCTGGACTATAGTGAAAACTTGAGGAAGTGAAATATCTCTTTATAGATGCCTTTGGAATCGAGTCTTTGGACATGTTTTGGAGAAAGATGGTACTAATAAATAGGCCCAATTTAGAATCTTTCTGAGCCTCAAGGAAATGTTTAATACCCAGATATTATACTGTTTCATGATTTCTAAGAGCCTTTTCATCTAAGACAGAAAATGATGGTTTAGTGTTACCTTGGTAACTTGTTCAAAGAGATAGGGCCTTGTTTGTAGTCTCTTCTTCATTTCCTCCAATTCTTTCTTATACTCTTTTGCTCTTTTACGGTCATTGTTCCTGGAATTAACAAGATTTTTAAAATGAATTTTAAAAATGAATCCAGAAAACCCTTCGTTCTAGTTAAGCAGAGTAACTCCTATGGACATCATAATCCCAACTGTGTCTGGCAAAACCCATGGCCCTGTGCAGTTGTAGGAGCCTACCCTACCTAGTAAGTCCATTTTGTCGTTTTCAAGCCCAGTGATCTATTGGATCCCAAGACAGTCACCCCTTTGACACAGGGAGGACACTGACCGGTTTTCTTTCAGCTTTGCTTTGAACACCTCCTCTAGGCTTTTATGGGGATCCATGGCTTTTGCACGCAAGGTCACGGATTTAGACATTGCTTGACACTTCTTTTTGTGCATCTCCAACCACTGAGTACTCTCATCTGCTTTGTCCTTTTTTTCAAGAGAACTTCTAAAAGGAAGAGACAGAAAGAGACTATAGATGACCAACTTGGGTATATTTAAAAGTGATGTTAGTAAACTCTCTGGAAAGTTGGTGGTTTCTATGAATGGGGTGGATAATTTACCTCCCTAGCAATTCAGACAGATTGAGATTCTGGCATTACATGCATGGGCACATGATGCCTTCCCAGCACTCTGAATACGTGATATTCTATCCCAGCAGAGGTTCATTAATCGAACTGAAAAATAGGTGAGTTAAAACATTCTTAAATAGCCAAACATTCAGGCGTCTTGCCTATCTGGAAACAAAATACTAATAGTTACCATTTGCTGAGCTACCTACTCTGAATCAAGTGCAAAAAGCCCACAAGTCCTTTATATCTACTATCTTATGTAATCTTCACAACTGCCCTATGAACTAAGAACTATAAGCCCCCTTTATATAGGCAAGGAGATGGAGCCTCAGAGAGGGTAAGGCACTTGCTTAAAGCTACCCAGCGTGCCAATGGAAAAGCCAGGATTAGAACGAGGGTATCATAACCATCTGTCCTTGGTGTATAAACTGTGCTATAAACAGTGGGCTGGAAGGTGCCTGGGTTCATGGTCCTTTGGGAAAAAAATCTACATTTCCAAAGAGACCTAGAAATGGACCTTCTTCAATGTACAGACAATTTGGGGTCAACTTTTAGCACCTAGTTTGTGTAAATATTCTATAAGTTACTCTAGAGAGTTCTATCTCCCCCATTCCTCCCCCACCCCACACCAAAAAAGACAATCAAGACTCTTGCATTTAGAAATTTACATTCAAATGGACAGATTAGGAAGAAGGGCATGAAAGTTTAATCTGTCAGTAGGTCAAATGCCCTATTGCTAGGACGCAGGTGTAGACATCCCCTAAAGGTGGGCCAGCCCCTGGTTCATGAGACCTATCTTATTGGGACCTTGGGATACTGAGGCATTTAGCCTTGATTTAGTAGCTCTATGAAATTTGAGAAAAAAGGGACCATCCCTTGGATTCTAAATACATTTCTACAGTCCCTCTTGTAGGTCTTAAAGGTCCACATAGTTTCCGTGTTCTCTGGGAGCCTCACAGGAAGGCACTAAGATCTCTGCTCACTTCGGCTCAGGGGCCTAGTGGAAGAACTCCTGCTGGTTCTATGAGAACAATACCATGACAGGGTCAGTTCAGTTAAAGAGTGAAAAATAAGGAGGTTCCTGATTCCCAACTGACTTCTGATTGTTGCCCAAGATCAATCTCAGAGAATCTCAAATATGTGCAATGGATGCCTCATCTCTGTGGCAGGGTTAGCCACCTGTCAACATGCTTCTCTGAATTCCTGTCCCTAAATGGCTCCTTTAACTCTCATCTATGGATCTTCACCCATATTGTTCTGTCTAAAATCTTCTTTCCCACATTTGGCTCATTCCTCTTTTCTTCATGTTTCACTTTAGACATCTATTATAAGAGACCCCTGCCCCAGGCTACCCAGTGCCCCCTGCCTCCCAGTCCTCTGTATTCCCCCATCATCGTACTAGTCACAAAATATGGTCATTGCTTGTTTTTCTATATTTCAGACTAGATATTAAACTATAGGTTCTATAAGGTTCCTCCAACCTTAACATTACACCTGGCACAGAGTCAGCCCCCCATGAATATTTGTTGAATGATGGCTAGGTGTTCTGCAGCACGAGTGTGGAGGGCCACATGTATTCTTGTCCTGGTCAGAGAATTCCCTTCCACCCCTTTAGGTCTTTCTGATAACAGGAAAGGAGGCCCAGCAGTAGGGTAGTTTGAAACATCATTTGGGCCAAGATCTGAGCATTACGAGTCTCCTGCAGCCTGACTACTCACCTGACTGCAGACTCCCTCTTCCTGGTGGCATCTGTGATGTGCACAGGGAGAGTGTTGGCAGAGAGGGAAGCAAGGCCACTCAGAGAATGACTCCTTGGCCGGGGAGTGGCAGGTGACTGTGGAGAATCCTAGAGGAAATGAAGGTTGGTATTGGTGCGACTGCACGTATGATTCGTTTCTATCTTAACTAGGAATTAATTTCGGTGAAGGACTAGTCTGAGAATCTTTTATGCTGAGATTAAGGCAGAGAGTAATGAGATCTCAAATTTAGTAACAGGGACAGACTTCGATATCAGTCCTAAAGATTTTAATCAAATGAGAAGAGTTCTTTGGAACTTGTATAGGGACACAACAGTTGATCCCAACTCCCTGCCTCCCAGACCTGCTTGACCTTATTGAGAGAGAGAAGGAAAGGAAGTATTCTTGTGATCTTAAGTTTATCGGAATTGTGGTACTGCAGATCTGATTACAGCTGAACCAGTGTTTAAAAAGAATTACAATAGGAATGTCATGAGAGGTGCCTTCCATTGAGACCTGGCCTATACCTGGATTTTGGGCCTCAGGCTCTGACCCTCCACCAACTGCCTGGGCTCTCACCCTCCTCTCTCCAGCGGTGGCAGCTTCACAGGGCCGCTGAGTGCTACGCAGGCTGGCGGTTCTCAGCAAGAAGGGCTTGTTGCGAGTCACCTCCCGGGTGTTCCTTCTCTTTGCAGCTCTTCTCTGAAAGGCCTTATAAAGGGCCTCATAGTCAGGGACGGCAGGATTCACCCGAGGCTGGAATCCAAAGTTAGTCTGCAGAAACCCGAGCTTTTCCTCTGAGGTTCGGGTGGCGGTGCGAAGCTGTGGGTCAGCCCGACGACTGGAGGAGGTGATGGGGGAGGAGGCCATCTGGAGCATGTCCAGGGCTCTCATCTGGATGCGAATTTTCCTGAAGAGCTCAGCTTCTGTGGAGAAAAAGCAGGGTGGTGGTGGGTGAGAAGGGACCAAGACTCACACTGAAAAGTCTGGAATACTTCCCTCTTTTATACACTAGTCGTAGTGTGTTGGAGCCAATTGTTAACTTTTCAGGAATTTTGTGAGCCAGTTGACATCATGTGGGAAGCCTGAAATTGGCCATGATAGACGTCTTTATACCACAGAAAATGGCAAACACTGCAAATCAGCTTGCCTTTTTTTCCTTTTTGAGAGCTCCTTAATAAATGTTGGCTAGGACAACACTGCCATATGCCAAGCAGGTTGTAGAAGCAGCTGCCATTCACATTTACTGAGCACTTTCTATGGTTCTCTCTTCAGAGACAAAGCACGAGGAATGGACCAGTCAGCTGCTCCTCTCCCAGGTTTCCTTGTCTCAGAGAAAGGCCCCACCATCCACCAGCTGCCCAGGCCCACTGCCCAAGTCATTCTTGACTCCTCCCTCTCATCTCACATGTTCTACTGCCGCCTCCTCTTTCACCTCGCTCCAATCCAGCCTCTTTTCATTGTTCCTGCTACTAATTTCGTAATTTCTCAACTGAATTGTTGAAATAGCCTCCTGTTAGATCAACATCCTCTGAACTCCCTCCCAAGGTCTATAAGGCCCGAGGTCTGGCCTGTGCCTGCCTCTCCCTCCCAAATCTCCCTCTTCTCTCTTCCCTCTACCTTTCCATCCCTTGAATGTGCTCAGCTTTCTCTTACCTCCATGCTATATCTCTGCCTGGTACACTCTTCCTCTCTCTTCATTGACTCAACCACAGCTTATCCTTCAGGGTCAAGCTCAGTGCTCACTTTCTCTGGAGACCTTCCCTAAGTCTTCTGACCCCGCACCACACCCTAAGTTAGGTCTATTATGTGCTCCATAGAAACCCCAGGCTTTCCCCTTTAATCTTTGCAAACAACATATTTGCAATTATTTGTCCATTATCTGTCTCCCTCCTCTATTCACAAACTCAATGTCTGTTTGTTCACCTAGAAAAGTGCCTGAGTCCCTTAACTGAGCTACACTTCTTGAAATGAGTATCTCACCAGGATGAAGGAGATGTGGGGCTTTCCTCAGGGGAAGCTGGCTAGTGGTGGCACTGGCCTAAACTGGTTTTTGGATGTCTCACTGGTTCTCTGCTCTCATATCTGTGCTGTTGCAGAAGCCTTCATATCCGCTCACTGAGAAAGAGGTCAACAGGACAAACCTGGGGTGCTGCAGGACCTCTCCTCACTCCTTGTTCCTTACAGGGCTCCCCGCCTGTGTATATAGACTCAGCCCTACTCCATGGCCTGCACTGAGTGTGGCCTCTAGCAAGTTCACCTAAACAGCTCATCTCCAAGCCAGGCTGACCCCTGAGCCTGACTAAATTCCCATGGTACCTCTTGGTATCCCCATGCAGGAGGCAGCAAGGTGGCAAGGATGTCTTTACCTTGGAGTTTGTCCCCAAGGGCTGGCTCCAGAATGGACTTGGGGATCCTTCTGGTGGCTTTCTGTTTGGAGACCTTGGCCTTAGCAGTGGCAGCTAATTCCCTTTGTTGAGCGGCTTCCTTTTGTTGCTCCTCCTTCTCCAGGAAGCTGAAGGGTTTCAAGGAAGAGAGGAGCAGTTCCTTCCTCTTCTGGATCCCTGTCCGCCTTCGGGCCTCATTGCGCTCCATGATCTCCTGGTAGAGGGGCAGGTAGACATGCGCAGGCACAGGCTGTGCCCGGAACTGCCGGTGGCACTCGGCCTCCTCCTGGCCTTGCTTCTGGGCCTGCTGCCTCTCACGCTCAAAGGAGGCAGGTGAGGCCAGCCACTGGACCTTTTTCTGGGCCTCACGCAGTGTCATACGGAATGGCCGAGGGACAGTGATGGATGATGCCCAGGAGCTGATGCTTCTGTGCTGGGAAGGAGGCCTGGAGCCTGAGGGTGGCTGGGACTGATCCTTGGGAATGTTGGAGGGAAGGCTGCTCAGGGAGCTGCAGCGTCTTGTGGAGCCACACCTGGGGTGGAGAAAGCAGCTCTGTGAGTGGAAGACAGGGAAGCCAGGAGGCCTGGCTCCTCCGAGATCCTCCTCCTCGCTCCTCCCCAGTCCTCCCTTCCAGCAGGTTGCATCCAGCTTCTCAGCCTAACATCACAGCCCCACAGGCCTCTAAGCCTTTGCCTTTCTCAACTGGGCTTCCCTCCTTCCCACAGGCCATCTAGTGGTCTTAGTAAGAAGTCTCTTCTCCAAAATGTTCCAAGAATTGCCTCTTTCTACTCTGATATTTTCATATTAGGGAGAGAACAGCACAATGGAGCAGAGCAGAGTTTTCGGGTCAGACAGAGCCAGGTTCGAACCTTGCTTCAAACAATTACCAGCTGTGTGACCTTGAGTAAGGTTCTTTTGGAACCTTAATCTCCTCACCTACAGAATGGCAAAAATAATACCTACTTACAGGGTTATTGGGAGGAGAAAATAAATATTAAATGAGATAAAATACACACATATATATAACAGAGATTGGCCAAGGTAAATGTACCTCATTGCCATTCTCAGGGAGGTAGTGTGTTTGGGAAAGGCATCCATTTAATCAGTGCCAATGATTCAGATGACTAACGGTTACCTAAAGTGATTTAGGACTGCTGGGTAGGAATCAGAACAAATGTTTGGATCTGAAAGCAAATTCTGAGCTGGAGCCTGCATAAGTGGCAACTTGCAGAAGTGGTCTTTGCTTCACCAAGGAAGAAGAACATGACTTGTCAGAGTTGTGCAGTGAAGCAGCTGTTGAACTGCAGTGCCTTACCTTGGAGATGCGGTGTACTGGACCTGCGGCTTCCCCATGCCTTTGTCTTGGAATAAATCCTTCAGGTCCTCATCATCTGCAGAGAAGTTATCATCACTGTCTGGGTCAGACTGATAAAGGGATTCCAACAGGCACCACATGCTTTTTTGCTTTAGTACTTGCAAGGTCTCATAAATGCTCCCAGTTGAGTCAGAAGAAGTAGAATCTGTTTCCTCTGAGCTGAGGAACTCGTCAAGTTTTCCAGCCCTGGGCAAAACTAGGACATCCCCAGATAGCTCCTCTTCTGCCTCTGTGTCTGAGGAGGATTTGGGGGGAAATACCTAAAATGAAACAGAACAGACTAAGGTCAAACATAACTTCAGATTTATTTGAGACATAACTTCAATTTCACTTTGAATAAGCCTTTGTATATTAGGGACTGAGGAGGAACAAAGAAAATTAAGAAGGACTTTTTGTGGTTAATTTGGCTCAAATTCATAAACATAATATAGCAGTCATTGCTTACAGAGGTCCCTCATGCACACTGCATATCAGAGAAAAGCTGCAAACTGAGCTGCCAGTCTCCTGCATTGTGTTCCTGCCATCTGAGTTGACCTTTGTAATAGAGCTCCTAGGACTATAATTCAACCAATGTGATATGGCAGCATTTACAGAGTACCTACTCTGCACCAGGCATTCAGCCCCCTGCACTCCAGGACTGAAGACCTACCCTGTCCAACTGGAGCTCTGCAACTATATTCCATTTGCATATTTTCTGACCAATCAGAATATGTGGAGTCTCTGGACCAATCAAACTGTGTGAATTTGGATTCCTCATTTGCATGAAAATGGATCAATCAGGAACCAGGGGGCAGGCACTATTCTCTATATAAGCCAGCCTTGTCTCTACCTCAGTGGAGTGCCCTGGCTATGTCTCCCAGGTTTGCAAATTGAGCTGTAACACGTGAGCTGCAACACTGGTGCTGTTTCACAACTGAACTGTTTTACTGACTAAAGTCTCACCTGTACTGCACCCCAAATTAGGGACTCTTGTTGGCATTGAATTGGCAGACGTGATCTTTGATTGACAAAGGACAGGAAAGAGAGGCAAAGAGCCAATGTTGGGTCTCTACTTCATGCAGTGATATGGCAGCATTTACAGAGTACCTACTCTGCACCAGGCATTCAGCCCCCTGCACTCCAGGAATCCTACCCATGACCTTGGCCACACTCTGGGCCCTACACCTACTTGGATTTTATCTACTTCTTGCCAATCTTCCCGTCTACAACTCTGCTTTCCTCATTTTGTAGCTCATTTCCACTCTGTCACTAGGAATGGATAATTAGCAGGAGGGACAATGTGGTCTAGCTGAACGAGCAATGTCCTAGAATATGGGAAAACCCAACTGCATTTAAATACTCCATATGGAAAATACTTATTGGATGGCTAATGTGCACTAAGCATTGAGCTGAGAACAAGACAAGCAAGGTCCCTATTCTCATGAAGCTTACATTCTGGTGAAAGAAGATAGATGATATAAGATGATAATAAATTTGATGAAAGTCATAAAACTGTGAGACTAGAGTGATGGAGTGGCTATGGGAAGCTTTTCTTATACGATGGGATATAAAAGCCCATCAGATAAAGACTACATATCTATCTATCTATCTATCTATCTATCTCTATCTATCTATCTATCTATCTATCTATATATAGATATATATATATAGATATATATACATAGCTGCATGTAGCTATATAGAGATATATTATGCTACATGTGCATACATGTACTATAATCAGCTAAGTTTATTAATTTGCTGCAATAAACCATAGAAAACCATAGAGAACTTGGGAGGCGGGTAGCTTTCAGTAAGAGGGGAGGCAAAGGACTTTTTTTTAGGGTTAGTTTGTCCTGAATAATTCTGATGAGAGTTAGGAGAGCAAGGATCAACTCTGGATGGATGTTGTCATCAGGAGGGCACAATTTAGTAAGTGGGTGAAGGAGCAATTTTTATTCAATACGTGACAAGAGCAAAGTGGGGCTGGGTAAGTAACTGGTCAGTAAGCATAATCACTTAGAAGAAGGGAGTGTTACTCATTTTACAGGTATGGTGTGGCCATGTGAGAAACTGTTTTCTGCCGATCTTGCTGCTGGTCTTACCTGTGTCTATTATAGTCTGAGTTGTATTTTCTGAGTCCTTGGCTCACTTTTACTTTCTCACTGTGGAGGAGTTTCAGATTGACATCTGACTGATGAGAAGAAGCCAGCCTTGCTAAAATCTGAGATAAGAGGATTCTGGGTTCAAGGAACAGCAAAGGCGTTGAGGCAGGGACCTGAGGCTAGAATAAACTTGACTCTTGGAGAGGCAGAAAAAGTGCCAATGAGGCTGAAAGACAGTGGCATGAGATGTCCTTAGAAAGGCAGGCATGGTGCCAGGACAGGACTCTAGAGGATGACTGACTGCAGCTGGAAACTAGTTGGGGGCAGGCTGCTGTAGGCCTCCAGGTAACACCTGGAGATGATCTTACTGGGTTCTCTAAGGTCCAGCTCTAATACTGAAAAAAAAACCCACTGGATTCTGAGGTAGGTATGTATGTGCTTTAGCCCTCTGCTAAAAAAAGCTTAGGAACTTCTTTTGTTAAATGCCTTTATTGAGATATAATTCACATACCATAGTTAATATAATTCAACATACTATAAAGTGTACAATGGATTTTAGTATATTCAGAGTTGTGTAACTATCACAATCAACTTGAGAACATTTTCCTCACCCCCAAAAGAAACCCCATACCATTTAGCAGTCACTCCCTATTTTCCTTAACCCTCCCAACCCTTCCCTACCCTACCTGCCTCCTCACCCCCCACACTCCCTCGGCTCCAGCCCTAAGCAACCATCAATTTACTTTCTGTCTCTATGAATTTTGGGGCAAATTTCTTAGTCTCTCTGTGCCACGATTTTCTGTACAAAGTGGAGACAATAGTCGTGCTAGGGTAGTTGAGAGGATAAGCAAAGGCTGAGGGCCATTGCTATGGTTTTGTGAAGAGTCTGACAAAAGGCTGAAGAGGTTCAGGCCCAGAGTCCCTAAATGCTACCAATTTTAATCCCACACCGGACACGCCCCTGCCGTCTGTTTCCAAGGCAACGTCAAACAGTTTCTTCTCTTACGGATTCCTTTCCAGGGCGCAGCCTTGATTCTTCCCAAAAATCCTCACCTGTTCCGAGGGCAGCCAGAGGCTCCGGCAGGACTTCCCACGGTCATTTTCTCAGCTGGGCAGAGACAGAAGGGGCGGTGACAGCAGCTGTAGTTGCGCTAGCTACGCAGATCAGGTTCCGCCCCTTCCTAGCTTTGGGCTCTGATTGGCTCCTAGGAGGACGCATTAAACCATTCTCCTTCCCAGGGAGCTTCCAATCCATCCCGCCCATAGAAGCAAGGATCGTTTTCTGATTGGTCTATTCTCTGTGCATATTTTATTTCCGGTTCTGAGGCCGAGTGGCTGAGGGGACAGGTAATAGGGCTCTGCCCCGGAAGTGCTACCCAAGGTGGATTTAGCGGGATGCCAAGTACCGTGTAGGTCGGCACCATGGCGGCTCTGCTGGCCGTGAGCAGGTGTGGGCCTGCACCTATAGCTGCCTGGAAAGGCCCTCTGGTCCCCTGCCGGAGGTGGGCCGGCGCCCCGGCAGACACCGTGTACGATGTGGTGGTGTCGGGTGGAGGTCTGGTGGGCGCCGCCATGGCCTGTGCTTTGGGTAAGCGCATCTCCAGGCTAGTAGTGGTGGGGATTGGTCCATGGAGGAGCGTGAGGACCGTGGGAGTCCTGGCACAGTTTTCTCAAAGTCTGAGCCTTGTGGATCTTATGGTTCATTCCCTGCCCAGAGGAGCCCCAATATTTAGGGCAAGTGTTTGGTTCTTCTGGGTTCCGAAGGGTCAAAAGTGGGAGGGACTTTGAGAGTCCTTCCAACAGCACGCAGGGAAACAGACCTGCTCAGGGTTATTTAGTTTGGGGCACAGTTGGAAGTAATCATACATGCTTGAATTGGGCTAGCCGTTTTTTTAAAAAACAGCTTCATTGAAATATTTGCATATTACAGAGTTCACCCATTTAAAGCATACAATTTAATGGTTTTTAATATGTTCAGAGTTGTGCAGCCATCACCACAAATTTTAGAACATTTTCATCCTCTTCCAAAAGAAACTCAAACCCATTAGCAGTCACTGTGCTTTTCCCCCCGTCTTAGCTCCAGGCACCATATATTTGGCACCCTTTCCCCTTTCTACCTCCACCCCTTTCCTCTGGTAACCACTAAACTGTTGTCTATGACTTTTTAAAACATAATTATCAATAATTGAGCACTTACTATGGATAAGCATATTTTAAAGTATTTTGCATACACTTTTATTTAATCTTCGTAATCTTGATGGTAGATTGTGCAGATAAGGAAGTTAAAACTCGGAAAGGTTAAGTAACTTGCACTCTGAAGTCGATAACTAGGAGATACAAAGCTTTTTTGAGACAGACAAAACTCACTGGTATATACACCCTTGAATCCTGACAGCTGTTTTGGTTGTACCTCTTGGTAAATGGGCCAAAATAGTGGTTCTTAAGTCTGAGTGCATTTAAGAATCACCTGGGTTGTTTTGTTTTGGCGTTTTGAATAACTAAGACAGACACATATACAAAATTCAAAAGGATTTTTCTTTATTTTTTTGGAATTTTGAATTTTGAAATACAAAGGGTATAGGGTATACAGTATAAGGCATATAAAGACTTCTGTTTTTGATTGTTAACCACCCAGTTCTCCTTGAAGGCAGTCATTGTTACAAGTTTGTGGGGTATATTTTAAAAATGAGGATTCAAGTTTCCACATCCAGTGACTCGGGTTCAGTTTGTCTAGGTGGGGCCTATTACTAACGAATATCTCCAGAGATGGATGCGGCAGATCAGAAGACCACACTGAGAATGAGAAACACTGGGAACAACGTAACTGTCTTGTAATGACTTTACCTCTTAACTTTATACAATTCTGTTTGATATGTACCTGAAAAAGTTTTCAATCTTACTAAAACTTTAGTGTTAATATTTAGTGTTTTGGAGTATTAACTTTTTTTTTTTCTTCCTATTTTGTTCTTTTCCTCACCCTCTCCCTGCACGCCCCGAGGGAAAGCAGCAATTCTTTAATAAACTGAAACAGAGAATTCTGTATTGTTTATTTTTCTGTCTCTTGAACATAAATATAAATTCTTAAAGTCAAGACCAACTTTAAATAGACAATTACTATACAGAATTCTCTGTATAAGTTTACAAAAGAAAGATGATGGACCGAGTACACCAGGTGGTGAGAATCACTGCTGTAAGTGCCAAAATTGCCAAACTCAGGTTTACAAAAGAAACACACACTTGCTGATTTCCTTAAAAAGCACAGAGAAAATACTGAATGTTAAAACATGGAAGTTGAGGCTCTGGGAAGTTTGGAAATTTTTCATGCAATTTCTTCAGTGAGAAAGCCTCTGTTTTTTCCTGTACAACAGTTGGGACTGAACAATGTGAGACAGAGACTGACCTTGGGCAAATCCTGTCCCTTGGGTGGGTGTGGTGTGGGAGTTTTCTCCTGCTGAGTTAAGTGAACTACCTGCTTGGGATTTTATGTGTGCTAATGTCTCCCCTCAATCATGATAGCATGTATCCCAAAGACTATTCTTTGTCAATAGTTTATATCTCAATTGACCTTACTTTATATTTCAACATCCACTTAATTTTAGATGGATGCTTTAAAAGCGAAAAATTTCCAGTAAGCTCTTCATATTGCTCCATAAGTCAATTATGTTTTCCTTGATACATCTTCAAACTCATATTAGTTTTATCTTTTAGGTTAAAGTATCTATATTTCCCTCTTACATTGTTATTCATAAATTATTTCCTCTAGTATCTTTTCTCCAAATGAGTTTCTTAAAATGTTACATTAAGTAGCTAAAAAAATATTAAACCTGGCTATATTTTATAATGTGTTTGGAAATCTAATTCTTTCACTGTTAGTTTTCTGGTCTCTTGTTGAAGAAAAATATTTGCGAAAACACTGAGTATCTACTTTATGGATTAAGGAGGTCCAGCATTTGCTTGCTGGGGAGATTAGCCATGAGAAAAAAAAATGGTTCCTGTCCCCAAGGAATTTAGAATGTAGCAAAAGAGAAAGATTTTGTAAATAATCAAATGAAATGAAAGCTCTTCTAGAACAAGCAACCGAACTATCCTGAGGAGGAGGTTTGTGGTATGAAGAACACTTCGTGGGGGAAGTGAGGCTTGAGTGAATAGGATCTGAATGTGGAGGTGGCAGGTAGGCATTCGGGTGGTGGCCACTGCTAGATCAAAGTTTAGGGATGTGATGGACCAGAAAGCAGTCCTCTCTCTGCAGAGCGTGGTCCTGGCTCTCATCCTCCAATGCTAATTGCTGTGATGCTGTCATTCAGCTGGAGGGGCGGGGATGGTAATCCTATTAAATTTTTTTTCCTTCTTTCTTTTTAGCAGCAACTCACTGCTTATTTCTCTCCTTGTATCTTTATCTGAGACACTGTGGAGGGGCTGACTGTAATGTGCCGTGGACATCCAGTAACAGAATCCCCAAGTCTCCTTTTCATTTCCCTATACAGATGTTTTAGGACCAGATTTGTAGGCACAATTGGTGTATTTTTGTACCCCTTTTCTTTTACAGACTTTAATTCTTTATCCTTGATTTAATCTTGGGACGACAATGAGTTTTGCTTATTAACTGCATTTTTGTTGAACAGGATTTCTAATTTTCAGTGACAATACTTTGAAGATTGGAACTAGCTGGTGTCTAAATACTGTAGTTTTACTTTTTTTACTTTATTCTTCCTTTCTAGGGAATTCCACTGGCTCGGTATGGGTTCGGCCGTTATTTGCTTCTTTGTACCTGATGGGTTGGACTCTAGTCTAGAGAAGCCTTCCAGTGGTGGACAGGGTGTCTTGCATGGCCGAATTGGCTATATTATTGCTTAGGAGTGTGCATGGTGTTTCCTTTTTTGTGCTGGGTAAGAAATTTGTATCCTAAGGACTAAGGAATTAATCTGTTGCTTCTCTTGGAAATGAAAAAGAATACATTTTGATTTTCCTAAAATGATCTAAAATTTTGCTTTTTTTTTTTTTAGGGCATGATATTCACTTTCATGATAAGAAAATTCTGTTGCTAGAAGCAGGTCCAAAGAAAGTATTGGAGAAATTGCCAGAAACTTATAGCAACCGGGTCAGCTCCATTTCCCCTGGCTCTGCAACTCTTCTCAGTAGTGAGTAGAACATCCTCTCTCATAGAACCACTCTCCTCTATCTCTTGGCTTTCCAGTGTGTCCCATAGGGCAGAGTCACCAGAGCATCTTGCGAGGAGAGAGCTCACTGAGGTGGGTGTGGACAGAGGGCCGTGGGTTGGTAGTGTGGTACGGAGTTGAACATGAGGACCCCCGAAATTGTTAATATGTCAGCTCCCAGTCTGAGGAAGACATCCTTGGGACATGTGGGTCCATCATGTAGACTTCATTTGTTGGGTCATTAGGAATTGGTAGAACTGAAACTATAATTATGACCATTCACTTCCAGTAGCATCACCCTCTTCATTCCCAGAGTCGGCCCTCTAGGGAGCTAGGGAGCCTGCATGATAAATGCTTTGGGGTGTAGATGGATGTGTGCACACAGAACCAGCTGTAAGCAAATTGCCTTTAGGTCTCTGCCAAATGTTACTCCCTTAGGCCATCCTATCTAGAACCACCCTATCTAAAATTAGACTCTTGCATCATTCTCTAGCCCCTTATACTGCTTTATTTTTCTTTATAACAGTTATTACTACCTGACATTATATATATTTTATTACAAATAATAAAGTAGAATGAATAAATGAGAATGTCAGCTGCAGAAGGCTGGAATTTTGTCTGTTTCGTTTCCCACTTTATGCTCAGTACCTAGAACTGTATCTGGCACATTGTGATTATAAATATTCAATGAGTGAATCTCTTTAATGCCATGGAGTTAAAAAACAAAAAATAGTCTTTGTCCAGAGAGTCTGTAATTTTAATAGGATGATAAAGAAAATAGGATGGATTTTTTTGAAATTTCTTCTCCTTTAATGTGATTTGACCTTTTGATCATGAAAGCTGGGTCTTTTTTCATGCTATATAATCTGACCTGGGGAACAGAATAGCTCAGCTCCTAGCATCAAACAGGATGGAAGTGGAGAATGTTTCTCTATTGTGGAGAATACTGAAAACAGCCTCTAACATAGCAAGGTGGAGGGACAAAAGAGGGATGCTCTGGTCTCTACATAGATCCTTTCTTTTATAGGTTTTGGTGCCTGGGACCACATCTGCAACATGAGATACAGAGCCTTTCGGCGAATGCAGGTGCTTTCTTTATCATTTGTGGCAGGATACTTTGGTCTGTCTTGTATTAGTTGGGGTCCACATTCTCCAGGTTTTCTGTGAATGTGGGAAGAATCAGATAAAGTCACACTCAGTCTAAGGATGTAGAGGAAAGTATTCCCAAGAGAATTTTCTTTTCACCTATATCCTGTCAGAGGGACTGACAAATTGTGATTTTTCTGCTTCTGTCACCTGGGAAAGCACTACTCAGGTTCTGATTGGAGTAATGTTTCCTTTTCCTTGGGTTATAATACAGACTTTCCCTTTGTGTTTCCAGGTGTGGGATGCCTGTTCAGAGGCCCTGATCATGTTCGATAAGGATAACTTAGATGATATGGGTTATATAGTGGAGAATGATGTCATCATGCACGCTCTCACTAAGCAGCTAGAGGCTCTGTCAGGTGAGGTACCCACCTCTTCTGTCTTCCTTTCACTCTCTGGAAGGTGAACTGCTTTAGAATTACTTGAGGACTTACTGGAAGAAAAGATCCCTTTTACAGATACTGAATGTCTACCATAAAGAAACATTCCGATAGTTATCCCAGGGTGGTTCTTTTTTTCTTTTTCTTTTTTCTTGTAGCTTTATTTAGGTGTAACTTACATACCATAAAATTCACCCATTTTAAGTGTACAGTTTGGTGATTTTTATTATATTTATAGAGTTGTGCCACCATCACCACAATATTATTTTAGAACGTTTCCATCATCTCAAAAGGAAACCTCACGACCATTTATAATCATTCGCTATCACTTCTCAACCTTTTGGCTAAGATCAAGTATAGTATCTGTTCTTATTGGTTTAATACAATCATTCCCCTTTCCCGCCCCCAGCCCAACACCGCTAGTCTCCTTTCTGTCTTTTGGGATTTGCCTTTTCAGGACATTTCATATAGAAAGAATCATACATATATGTATTCTTTTGTGTCTGACTTTTCTCACTGAAGATATTTTTGAGATTTATTCATGTTGTAGTGTATATCAGTACTCCATTATTTTTTATTGCCAAACATATTCCATTGTGTGACTACACCACATTTTGTTTATCCATTAACAATTGATGGACATTTGGGTTGTTCCCACTTTTTAATGATTGTGAATAATGCTATGGACATTTGCATACAAGTTTTTGTGTGGACATATTTTCATTTTTTCTATGGTAGAATTGCTGATTATATAATAATTATGTGTTTAACATTTTCATAAACTATCAAATTCTTTCAAAGAAGCTGTACCATTTCATTTTCCCACTACCAATTATATGTGGGTTCGAATTTCTCCACATACTCACCAACACTTACTCCCCCTCTTTGTAAAAATTATAGCCATCCTAGTGACTGGAATGGTATCTCGTAGTTTTGATGAGCATCTTTTCATATGCTTACTGGCCATTTGTATATCTTTGGAGAAATATCTAGTCAGAATCTTGTTCATTTTAAAACTGGATTATTTGTCTTTTTATATTTTTCAGTTATGAGTTCTTTATATATTATGGATATAAATTCCTAATCTGATATATGATTTGCAGATATTTCAGGGTCATTCTAGAGAGAAAAAAATTGGAAGCAACTTAAATGCTTTTTGATATGGGATAGTAGTTCATCCATTAGTCTAATTTAGATCTAATATTTAGTTACTTAGAAATATGTCTCATATATATTGGTGAAAAAAATCATGTCATTTGGTCTCATTCGTGCAAGTGTGTGTGTGCTGAGTGTGTGTGAGGATGTGTATGTGCATATACATGCTTAAGAAATTGTTTGGAAAGCTAGATGGCAAAGCCTTAGCTGTAGTTGTCTATGAGTGGTATGATTAAGAGTGATTCTCCCCTTTTAAACCTTTGTTCAGACTTTCACAGTAAGCATGCAATTTTTATGATCAGAAAAGTAAAATAATTTCCAGTGGGAAGAAAAATCTTATGAAATCTAGAACTCATTTGAGCACATGGTATTCCTACGCTCTTTACTCCAAAGCACATGTGGGCTCATTTAGGCGTAGAGTGAAACTAGAGGAGCAGGAACACGAGGAGGGGGAGAGTACCTGGTGTAGGTTGGTGATTCATTGAGAGCTTACCTTTCTTTTTTTTTTGACACTGATTCATCCCTGTGTTTTTGTCATTCTCAGACTATAGCATCAATCACGAGTTATTTTATTTTTTTTAGATATTTTCTTGTTTAGGAATAAAGAACAAGAGACATCTGTCCTGGGACCTTGCTTTAGATTTAATTATGGCTTCATCTTCAGCCTGCATGGGCTGCCTTTCTAATTTAGTTTTCTTTTTCTCTTCTGACCTCCCTAGACCGAGTGACGGTTCTCTACAGGAGCAAAGCTGTCAGCTATACCTGGCCTTATATGCTTCCCGTGGCAGACTCCAGCCCCTGGGTTCATATTACCCTAGGTGATGGCAGCACCCTCCAGACCAAATTGTTGGTAGTTGAAGATTCTTATTTTGCCAGGGGTCTTGCATATCCACATCTTATCCTCAATTCTAGGGCCTTTAGTTTTAGATGTAAGCTATAGTTGATGTTAATTTTAGGGAAAGCTCTTGGTTATAAGGACCAGTACCCACTTAACACAGCTCAAGTTAAAATGGTCTTATAAATTCTATACAGGGAGTAATCTGACCATCTTAAGTCTTGAAATAATGGACAGCTGGCCTCACAGGGACAGGAACCAGAGTGTCAAAAATTGAGGCTGTTCTTTCCCTCTCAAGAGTCCTATAAGTTACTCATCTCCTTGCATCTTCCATTTTTTTCTCTCTGCTCATCAGGTTCCCTTTTTTACATGGCAGCCATCCCTCACATCAGGACCATTTAGCTTTAGTGCCTGCCTTACATCAGGACCATTTAGCTTTAGTGCCTGCCTTATTGCTTTCTAGTTCAACTATCAGGAATTTGGCTGAGTTTAACCTGTGCCTGCCACCTCATGGGTCGTATGTCCAGTTTTGGTCCATTAGCTGAGGCTGAGGTCACATATGTAGGGGATATGGATGAGGCAGGCATGATAAAAAGTTGCCTGCTACAGATAGGCTTGCCAGCAGTTGGAACTAGAGAAAACTTTAGAGGGCAGAGACAAACTTCTGGAACAGTCTCATTTACTAAAAGTTGTAAGGCTTAGCAGGCTCTTGTCTCCATGCAGATTGGTGCAGATGGTCACAACTCAGGAGTACGGCAGGCTGCTGGGATCCAGAATGTTAGCTGGAACTACGACCAGTCTGCTGTCGTGGCTACTCTGCATTTATCGGAGGTAAATCCTGAGCCCACCATTGCCATGTAGGGACCCTGCTTGTGTTTAATACGTGTACTTCTCACAAGAACTCTTCTTTCCATTGTAGGCCACAGAAAACAATGTAGCTTGGCAGAGATTTCTTCCCTCTGGGCCCATTGCTATGCTTCCGGTAAGAAGTCCTCCTGGCTAGTCTGCTTAAACACATCCAGCTTTCTTTTTAGGACTTCATTTCTTCTCAGCCTTTTTCTGGTTTCAAGTGAATATGCCCAGGCTAGCTTTGTCTCCCCTTCTTACCTTCTTTTATGCTTGAGAACTCCCAGGAACAGAGGTTTTAGCTCTTAGTATTGATGCTGTTCTCCTGACACAGCTCTCAGACACCATGAGTTCCTTGGTTTGGTCCACGTCCCATGAACACGCAGCAGAGCTGGTCAGCATGAATGAAGAAAACTTTGTGGATGCTATTAACTCTGCCTTTGTGAGTATCAACCTGACCACGTGATGATGTATTGCAGAGGTAGGTATGGAAAGGTGGTTTTGAGTGGGAAAAAGAAATAACCAACCAGTTGCCCCTTTTTAAATGTAACGCTTAGTTAGGATTATATGGAGGGCATTCAGGGAAATGCAAAACAATAGAAATCAGTAACTTGTATGTTCTTTTGAGGCTTGTGGGCTGCTATTATGCTGAGTGAAAAAGCTGCCTTGGTGGTAGTCAGCACTGGCTTTATTTGAAGCTGTGCTACTTGGATAATCTTGAACAGCTCAAATAGGCCCCAAGTACCTGAACCTCTGAAGCCTGATTCATCAGATGTGCTCTGGCTGAGCACATTTCTATGGAGAGCTGAAGAGTGAGCTTTGTAGACAGACATGGGTTCAATACTGGTACTAACTGTAAATCTCCTGAAAAATGGAAATACTGTCACCAACCTCTCAGGGATTAGTAATTAGTAATAAAGTCTAGAGACTTAAGATGAGACTGTAAAATGCTTGTAACATACCTAGTACATTATAGGTGCGCAACAAATGGTAATGATTATTCTAGAGTAGTACAGCTTTTAGATAATATGGCACCAGTATTTCTGGAGATTAAAAGCCACATTTATCTAGAGTCACAAGTAGTAATCATTGGTAACATTTATTGAGCACTTACTATGTGCTAGATACAGGTGAAGAGTTTTACTTGTATTACGTATTTAATTCAGTGACCCTTTGAGGTAGGTCCTATTATTATTATCATGCTTATTAAGAGATAGGTAACTTGCCTGAAATCATACAGTTAGTGGCAAAACTGGGTTCTGTGATCAGGCTGGCCCTTAAAACCTGTGGTTTAACCACCAAAGTCTACTACCTCACTAATGACTTCACACCATTTATACTGATGAACTCAAGCTTCACTGCTCTGTAGTAGCAACAAGAATAAAAGGAACCGAACATATTGAAGTGGCTCTGAAGATAAATGCTACCCCTCTCTGGGTCATTTAGCATATGTTCCTGGCACAGGCCTTTGTAGTACATTCATTTAGCAACAATTACAAGTGCTTTCTCTATAGAAGGGTCTGGAGATACACAAATGAGACACAGTCCCTGCTTTTAGGAAGCTCATAGTTACATGAAGAGAAAGGTACATGAATGACAATTTGGGTACAGTGGTAGAAGTATGCAAAGGATGCTGTAGGAGCATAGAGGAGGAGAAGACGTCAGGAGAGTTCGGAGGGAGGTTTATAAAAAGACATGACAGCCTCTGGATGCTCTGAGGTGTGATCCTGGTGAACCAGAAGTGCGAGGACATTCTAAGCAGAGGGGAATGTTTGAGGCCAGAGGATGCTGTAGAATGAGCTTTGTTGTGGCTGGTGTAATTATTGAAGGTGAGGACTAGTGAAAGGTGAAGGTGAGAGGCAGGGGCAGCTCGGTAGCAGTTTGGCTTGATCCTAAAACCTGTGGGGAGTGATGGGAAGCTGTGTTTACATTTATTTGAGGGACTTTTCACTTGGGGTCCAGATCGTTTCAAGCATATTAGGTATCAGTACCCTTGGCTTTGGTTATTAAAAGGGTTTCCTTGTTGAATTTTTAACTCCCTGCTTGTCACTGATGAAATTTTTTTGTTTTGTGGCTGATGCTACTCAGTGGAGTGATACTAACCACACAGACTTCGTTGACTGGGCCAGCTCCATGCTGCACTATGCTGTTACCTTTCTGAAGCCCACTAAGGTCTCAGCTCGTCAGCTGCCCCCAAGTGTCGCCAGGGTGGATGCCAAAAGCCGAGTATTGTTTCCTCTTGGGCTGGGACATGCTGCTGAGTACGTCAGGCCTCGGCTGGCACTTATTGGGTAAGATGATAACAGAGCAGGGCCGCTTCTTTCCCACTCTGCTGCTGGAGGCCACACCTGAACTCTGCTTTATCTTTAGGGATGCTGCCCACAGAGTCCACCCACTTGCAGGACAAGGTGTCAACATGGGCTTCGGGGATATCTCCAGCTTGGTCTGTCACCTCAGTACTGCAGCCTTCAATGGGAAAGACTTGGGTAAGCATTCAGGTACCTTAGAGAAGTATTAAGGGGTCATGTAGTTAGGGAAGATCGAGACCTCAGGATTCCCCTCAGTAGCCAGATGCGGTGGACAGTGTGGTTTTCTAGGAAAGAAAACTTCACTATTGGATTAGGATTTAACCTTCCTCTTTCCTCCAGGCTCTATGAGCCACCTCACAGGTTATGAAACAGACCGACAGCGTCACAACACTGCTCTTCTGGCTGCTACTGACCTACTGAAAAGGCTCTATTCCACCAGTGCCACTCCGCTTGTGTTGCTAAGGATGTGGGGCTTGCAGGCCACAAATGCAGTATCTCCACTCAAAGTAAGGTGGCTCATGGCTCTCCAAGAGTCTTGTTCACTGAGGAATGACTTTGCCAATGACTTTTAATGTCTTTGAATTAATTTTCTGGGCTGTAAAATTATCTAAATACTTTCCCCAGTGGTTATGAGCAAAAAACTCTCTGGGCTTGTTGGTGCTGGGGCCCATCAAGCAGTAACTTTATACAATATAAGAAGGACTAAAATAGTGAATAAGGGCTTTTAAAGATAAAGATGCTTAAACTCCTATTGCTGCTTGCCGACTTTTTTGCTGAGAAACTTCCATTTAAAGATACCTCAGAGGTCCTCTTAGGAGGAATAGCTATCTGGGACTTGACTAAGTTTTTCCTTTAATCGCTTTGGATATTTTAACATATTTTCTTCACCTGCTCTCACACTTTACAATGTCAGAGTACACTTTGTTCGTTTTTCTTTAGGAACAGATCATGGCCTTTGCAAGCAGATGAATACTTTTCTTCTGGAGATTATGGTGATGAAAAATGAACATCCCTCCCCAAGACCATCACATATTTTCAAGATTTAATAAATTTACTTTATATTAGAATTCTCCAGTCTCTTTTTCTGCTTTATTTAAGGGACTCGTGGAGCCCAAATAATGAGTGATAATTTGCTGTGAGGAGTGCATATAAACTAAGCCAAGAAAAATACCCTAAAGGAATACTATTATGATTTTGTTGAAAAGAGTGTTTTATTACTAAAACAAAAATTGCTAAGGTGCTGTCTCATTCATTTTCACTTGTTAACAATCCTTTCTAAAGAGATTTATAGAATTGTTTTTTAATACCGATCATAAGTTTATACAGTTGTTTTTTGATAGACAATTAGAAATATTCAGTTGATACATTTTTGTTACAATTGCTGTTTTAAAATTTATAACATTAAAAAGCAAATTAAATTGTTTTAACCTTTGTCATAGGTGTACTAGACTTTCTGAAAAGAAAACCAAACTTTTCAATGCTTAGTTATTACTTATCACAGCACCCGATCTCCATTTTATTTATGGTTCCTCTCTGAGATACCATTATCTGTTCAGTAATAAAACAATAAATAATTCCATTGCACAGGTTTGAAGACCTCAGGAACTAGGTCAAAAGGGAAAATCTGATTAGCAGCAGAATTTGTTCATATTTGGTTGCAGACTGGTGGCTGTTGGGGGCAGGGTGTTGCTGTTGGTTTTTGAAGAGCTCACTTCACAGTATCAGAGATGCCTCTTGAAGAGATTTTTGGATCCATTAGATTTGTATACAGTAAAGAACATTTTCCCCAAAAGTCTGATTTGAAGATGAAATGAGAAGAAACAGTCTGCTTTTGAACCAAGCTAAGCTATTCTTGGGCGTAGTTTTTGAAAGAATGAGAAATATGTTACTACAGGGGAGCATTTCTGGCAAATGTGGGAGATTTATAAGATAATAGAGTAAAAAAGTGACAATAGCACAAATGTTACTAGCAGAGTCTAGAAAAGACACTGTAGGGAGAAAGGTAGCCCAGGTAAGGAGGATATGGATTCTCCAAAATATTTACATATTTATGTAAATAAAATCAGACAAGAAAGGAAGAGTTTTAAGGCACACTTTGCGAGGACCTCCATAACCTATCGAGGATGTTCTTCATATGATGATAATGATGATGATGATAAATACACAACACCCACCACGTACCAGGCCATGTCCTAGTATTTGAAATATATAAACACATTTATAGAAAAGAAACTTAACCAGCAATATTAGGCTCCATGGCATTCCTTAATAAGAGGCCCAAAAGGTACATTGAAGGGAAGAAAAGACATTATAGACAAGTCATTTTTTCTAAGAAATAAAAATTATTCCAAATTGCTCCTCAAATGCATAAATTGGTTAATTCCTCAGATGTTCTAATCAAGATTATCAGAATAGATACAGATACATTTCTGGAGTTAATGCATCTACTCAAGCATTCTGGAAGTATTTGGGATGACCAAAGGAGTCTGAATAACACACGGTCCCCATTTATAAGTAAAGCTTCAGAGATAAGTGGTAACAAAGACCAGGGAATCTTACTTCTGGACCCATCAACCTGGAGCTGTCTTCAGTGAACACAGCTTCACTTCTTGGGAAAACAACTTTGTTTCTACTAGAAGAAACAGTTTTTCCCTAATCATGCGGAACAACATTTAGCATATGACTGGTTCTACCACCCTACCTTTTTGACAAAAATGGCAAGGGGTCTAGAAGCCATGTGGTCTGTTAAAGAAGAGACCACAAAGGACTAGGGAGGAATTTTCTTCAAAAGACTGACAGGCTGTGGAAGGAGAGATTAGAGCAGAAGACCACTGAGAAGATAGATCTCAGCTCAATATAAGGAGGACTTTTTAACATCAGTGCAGTCCCAAATGGAATGAGCTGCCTGAAAACATGCCTAACCAGAAGTTAAATGATAACCAGTTAGAAATGTTAGGAAATTCTGCAACAGAAGACTGGAATCTTTGGACTGTCTCCAACTCTAAAGATTCTATTATTTCATTATGTATTAGCATTTTTTGAGGAAGACAACAGGTATAAAGGTGACTTCAGAATAATTAAAGTCAGTGTGAATAATGTGAAGAAATTTCACATTGAATTAAAAAAACTAAAGTTTGGGGGGTGAGGATACAGAAATTTTCCCAATTACTTGCACACCAGATGTTAAATATTTATTGACTCAGTGGAATAACTTTAAAAAATAAGGTTCCCTAGGAACTGGTGTGAGGCCAGGTATTTAACATCTTTTGCGAGAGATCTGAAAGAAAATCTACTGTGAAAGAAAGATACAAGTTTGGGAGTTACAAACTGCTGGAAAAAGCTGGAAGTAAAGAGCCAAGGCAAATGAGCCAGTCAACAGCAAGATCTTTCAAGTCCAAGAGCACTCGAGTGGGTAGACAAGAAGCCAATGATAGTCATGTGGGAAAGTACAAGGTAATGAATTTTAGGGGAAATAAAAAGAAGAGCTCGGAGCACTCAAATGCAAAAAAGAGAATCTACAGTACTGACGTGAGCCAAACCAGCCAACCAAATCAAGTGTTAGGTTATCATCAAGAAGAATATCAGAAACCCTGGAACTAGACAAATAATTGAGAGACTGTTAGCTAAAATGATCAGAGACCAAGGTAGGAAGAGATACTGCTATAAACAGAATAACAGAGCAAAGTGAAAGGAGCTGTGACCAAAATCTAGATCCTTGAACAGCACAGCCACAGGCCTCTCATCATAGACCAAAAGCTAGGTTATAGATGTATTTCTTAGAAATACAAAGAAAATAAGTTTAGGATGACAAATTGCTATAAACACATTAGCCTGGAAGGAGGTACTGGCACTGAATACACACACATATTCCTATGAGGTTGGACATGTTCATTAATCCACAGTTGACTTATAAAAAGTTGATTAAAAGAAGGTGGTCTATACAAGGCAGCCACACCCTCCCAAAACATGTACTTAGAGACGGGATGGCCTCCTTAAGGCTGAGGTCTGTGCAGGTAGGACTTGTTCTCCATCCTGCTAAGAGAATGGCTCTCAGCTGGCTGATTGGAGCTAGCACAAAGCAGGATTACACAACTTCAGAAATGGTACCTTTTTTCTTTTTGAATTACACATGAAAAGCAAAACTAGGTATTTTTTTTCTCTCTTTTTTAGGGGGGTGGAGATAAGGGCGGGAAAGGGCACTGTGCAAGGAAGGAAAAAATAATGGTGTTGATAGGTCGTGGGACTGCAATCAGTCAGCTGAGTTTAGCTTGTAAGAGAAAAATTAAATTGTTCAAAGGAATGAGGCACTCAGAGAGTTGAAACGAGATTTTTCTTTGGTTCCTAGGGACCTGTCCCTGGGTTCTCCAAGGTTAAGTTTCAAAGGTATTCTTTGACTCCGTGACACACAAGCAATCTCAAAGATTTAGACTCTGGTACCAGCTATGCAAGCAGAATGGTTAGGTTACAGTTCATATTAGATGTGTAAAATTAATTAAGCCCAAATCACTAGACTTGAAGGTAAGACCTGTCTACAAAAGCTCCTTCTGATGAAGCCAGATGCTGGATTTCAATCCAGGCAGTTCCCAGACTACCTCAGAACACGACTGAGTCTTCTCTCCTTCTCCCTTTAAAAAGGTTGTTGGCAAATGCAGGCCTCGGAGGAAGGGCCTGGCCTTAGTGGGAAAGGCCCAGAGACTGCAGAAGGTGAAAGGTGGCCCCCAAGGCCCAGCCTGTCTCTATGTTGTTCACTTTCTTTGTGAGCTGTGTGGGGAGGAGAAAAAAAAGTCTTCACATCTTCATTCAATTTTCAACTTTAGCAAGCATGACATAGGCAGAGAATATCTGCAAAGATCATCCATATGGCCAAACCAAGGCAAAACTGGGAGTAGCCAGTCTTTGGAGGCTTCCCCATTATCCGCCTCTCTAACAGTTCCCCTCCTATAGTGGCCTATTGCTCTTACACTTGTCATTCTGATCCTGATTCTTCTGGCCTAGGAAGTGGTCTCACACAGGCCTTCTAGACAGGACCTTCTGGACTCTTTCCTTAATCCTAAAACTAAATATAACAGGAGTTGGGAATAGATTTAGGGGTAGGAAAGAACACACTAAGCTTCTCAATTCATACTTTGTAAGTAACTGCATCTTCTTCAATACTAATTATTAACCAGTCAAGACACTTAGGCATTCTAGTCCAGGTTGTTCAATTAGTTCAATTAGTTCAATGACCTTGGGGAAAAGTTTAGACACAATTTCCTCAACTACATAACAGGGAGATTCAATTAGTTTTTATCAAATTGTTTTTTTCAGAATCCTAGGGGTTTCTTGGAAGTGTTTCAAAGAGAAAGGGAGGCCAAATGGTGAAGGAGTTCCAGGCCCCCTACCTCCACTCCAACCATGTAGCTCCACTTTTTATCAGTTTTACTGGCATTCTGCACAAGCACCACCACCACATACACACACACAAGTTTAGAAACCAACAGATTGGTTTTAGTCTTTCTAGTACTAACTTCTTATGATACAATACTTTGTTGACCTGATGAAATCCAGTCTAGTCTCTGTGTCCAAAACAAGAGAATGGCATGTGAATCATTTTGAGGTTTAGTCTGAGACACCTGAATCAAGCTGGGAGTGTCCCTCCCACGAAATGCTCTTCCTCTGCTCTCAGGACTGGCCTGACAGCCTAGAGATATAGATGCCAAAATGAAGCTATCTCTGGGATGGGACTGTCCACCCCTGATTTAAATTCTGCCACAGAAATCATAAAGAGCAAAAGGATGTTGGCATTGTAAACGGCAGAACAATTATCCTTAAATGACTTGGTTATAGTCAATGCTTACGTAGAGAAAGTTGTTAACTTAGTCCTATATACTGAGGGCTTAGGTAGACTTCTCTTATCCACAGATCTATCCCCAACTTGTGTGAAATGCCTACACTACTAATAAAACCAATATTAATAACTTATTATGTGTCAGGTATTGTGCTTTATATGCATTATCTCGATTTTCCTAACAGCTCTATGAAATAGGTACTCTTAAGGATACCTGTGTTTTAGATGAGGAACCTAAAAGTGTAAGCATCTAAGGTCACAGAGCTAGTATGCTTGCAGAATCCGATCTTAAATCCAGATCTGATGGACAACAAAGCCCAGGCTTTAAATATTACGCTATACTAATGTACTGGCAAGTAACTCTTCTGTCTTAAGCACTTTAAATCTAATGTTCTTGGCAGATAAAATACATTAAGTCCAAATGCCTTAGTACAAATGAGTTTATGAAACCCATATAACACAAGAAATGGGGTAATATAAACTCATCTGGAACTAAGGAAATAGGAAGGGGAAGTGGCACAAAGGAAGGTGAGGTGGGGGAAGACTCAAAAACAAAAACAAAGTACAGTCTACTTACCTCAAAGTTCAAAGTTGCCTGTGCCTTTTCCTCTAACAGACTACATATTATTTGAGAGCAAAGACTGTATCTTAATTACCTTTGTAACTGTGGACAAAAAAGGGGCCACATACTAAACCTAACAAGCTCAGGGGAGGCCTGCATTGTGGGCCTTACAAACCAGAGACTGAAAGTAACCACACAGGGTGGTCTGAATGTAAAAATTCCTAACTAAAAGCGAGTCATGGCAGGTAGTCACGTCCTGGGCCTGTAGCTTCCTAGACAAAGGTCAATCTTACCCTTTGACATTGTCTATTGTCTTTGTGTATCTTAGATAACATACCTTTGAAATGTCAGAGTAATTTTCTTTTCCAGACTCCTCAAAGACACAACCACGGCACCAGAGCATGAGACCACATTGTTATCTTGTTGCTCAAATACCATCTCTTTGCACTGTGAATGTTAACTCTCCTGTGCCCACCAATGTAAAAGATGTGTCTCTCCATTTTGCTTTTAATCCAATCTCAGATTTCCCCAGTTTGCTTTCTCCTGCCTCCCTAATCTACCACCAGTGAATTTCATGTAACCTTCTTTATGTCTTCTCCTTTAACTCTAATGTATAAAATAAGCTGCAAAACTCCCATTCTCTGGAGCATTTTCTCAATCAGTTGAGGTTTTGCTTCCTGGCAATTTTCATCAGTTTGGCTCAAATAAACTCTTAGAAGACTTTTTCTTAGGCTGGACATTCTCATGTTGACATAACCATAATGTACAATTATTTAATTATGGTATAGAAGACAAGAAAATAAATGGGATGGATGAAACATATATGTTTAGAATAGATAAAGAAGTTACTACAGATAAAGTTGAGCCTGCATGTTCTGAAACAGATGGACAGAGACAGGATGTCAAAGAGGAACTCAAGATTCAAGAGGCACTAAATATTTGAGGCATGTACAAAATATATACATCATATCACATATATACGAGGCGTTCAATATCCATGAGGTCTTAAATAAGCCACTCACTGATGACACTTTTCTGGTTCATGTCCTCTGCCAAATAAAACCATCTAATGGGCTAATGAGTGAGCAAATGCTACTGTACAAAGTACCTGCCCCTGTGCCTCTCCAAATAGAGGAAGTTTGTGTGAATGCCCTGGGAACCTTGTGCCCTCTTGATTAAACTTCAGTTTTAGTATCTGTAAGCACACTATCAGCAGCAGCTAGAGGAGGCAGGACATATAAACCCAGGAAGTGTGGCACTTCCAACCTGCATGCACCCTCTCCTGTGTGTTCACCTAACCCATTTTGTTCCCCTTGCTTCTCACCCAGCATTTTGAAATTGATTTAATAAACCATGCGACTTGGGCATCTTAATTTGGGTTGTAAGCCTTTCTGCTCTGTGACCGCTGAGATAGTTTGCTGTCCCAGTGTCTAAGATAATATACTTAGACACTGCCATTGCATCAAGGTAATCTCCACATTCACAGTGCCTTGCACAGTGCTTGTCCAGAGCCCAAATAAAAATCCTCATAATTCCACCTATAGCCACTCTGTTTACTAAACAAATTCTTAACTCTTTCTTCCCAACTCCCAAATAAGAAGTGTGTTATGAGACTCCTTTGCCCTCTCTTACTTTTAAGATGGTGTTGTCTGCAAAGCCAAAGCCATCCTTCAACAAGGCTGTGATGTAACTGAGATCCATGCAGAGGAAAGGACTGCCTGAGGTGTAGTTTTCCAAGTTGTCGCACACTGAAGGCGGGAGAGAGTAAAGAGTGGCATTCAAGTTCGCAGCCAACTGAGAGGTATATAATTTTCTCTAAATATAGACTGAGAATAGCAAAGCAGGATTTTCCATTAGGTTGATGCCTAGGAGTCTTGGAGGCTAGAACTGTGTAATGACAAGACCACAGCTCCTCAAGAACTTGCTCATTTCTGATGTTACATCTCATCTACTCAAATTTACATGGGCCCTAGTTTATTTGCTAAATTTCTATGACCTATTGTTTGGGGCTTAATTCAACCAAATCCCTTATATATTATTAATGATGAGGCCCAGAAGACAGGGAAATAGCAGTTAGCCTCACTCTGAGGCCAGTGGATGAGATCATTTATTTATATTTTCAATGGACTCTCTCAAGGAAGCCCCTGTGGCTATTTCCCACATATTTGTTACTTGGTGTTTAACACTAATAGCACCATTTCGAATTTTTTTTTTTTTTAAAAGAAGAAATGTAGAAAGAAAAATGTTTTCACCCTTTTCCCCAAAGCCTCCTGTATTTTCATAGTTTTCTATGTCATTTAATGCTTTTAACTCCTAGCAGAGACAGAAAACCAGGCTTCTGAGAGGCTATCTGCTGCTGTGGCACTTTAGGTCACTTTAAGGTCACTGGAGTTGGCAGGCACAGCCTCAGGACTCGCCTTCGAGGGTGGCCACTGCTACTTACCTTCCCTTGCTTTTCTTTCAAAATCTTCAACTTTTAAAACACCCCCCTTTTCATAATCTGAAATGAAAGAGAACAGTAGCTGATGTCAAAAAGCCTTCAAGGAAACAAAGAAATTCATCCTAGTGATATTTTATTTGTAATAAAAATGTGAAATAACATTTCCAACATCAGAGAATGGGATAAACATGACATATTCATACAATATAATCTATGCGGTCTATCTGATTTATGATCTATTTTATGTTGTGTATATTTAACCACGATAAGAAATTTGATCCATTTGAAAAAACACATTAGAAAATAGGAAATTAATTCATATCTCAGGCCATGACAGATCATACACATACATTCTCACAGCAAAATAAAAACATTACTATTGTGATAAAAAGTTATTAAGGAGGAGGAGGGAACTTTGGGGTGATGAATATGTTTTTTTTATATTGAACTTGGTGATAATTTCATGGGTGTATATATGTCAAAAGTTAGCAAACTGTACACTTTAAATATGTACATTTTTATGCTAAGTGAAATAAGTAAGACAAAGAAGGACAAATACCATAAGATCTCATTATTATGTGGAATCTAAAAAAACAACAAACAAAACAGAAATAGACTCACGGATATAAGAAACAAACTGATGGTTGCCAGAGGGGTGGTGGATGGGAGAATGGGCAAAAAAGGTGAAGGGGAATAAGAGGCATAAACTTCCAGTTATAAAATAAATAGGTCAGGGCATGTAATGTACACATAGGGAATATAGTAAACAATTACACAATAATTTTATACAGTTCACAGATGATTACTAGACTTATTACAGAGATAACTTTGTAAGGTATGAAAATGTTGAATCACTATGTTGTACACCTGAAACTAATATAATATTGTATATTAACTATATTTTAATAAAAAATAAATTTTGTGCATTTTATGTCAATTAGACCGCAATAAAAGAAGACTTCAAGTAAATTTTTTAAGGCCATTTTCTAGCCCCAAAAGATTCTCAGTCATATTCATCCTTCTATTTCAGTAACTACTGTCACTTGACTATCAACACTGAAGAGTCAGGTGATCATTTCTGATGAAGCATTTCAGATACTCCTTCTCCTTTTCCCACCAAAGCCTTGCCAGGTTTCCTCCTTGACTTGACACCTGAAGTGAACTTACCAATCATGTCTGTGTCAACAGCTCGATCATAATAGTAAGAGAAAGCATAGAAGGAGCTTCTGTGGATCTCATCTGGCTGGTGAAGTTTTCCTTGGACCACCCTCAGCACTTCAGCGTAACAGGGCTCAAAGCCCACCTCCCCTGCCAGAGCAAAGGTACACAGGGGCAAGGTGAGAAAAATGATAGGAGAAGAGGCCTCTCTGCAACAAGTAGCTGGCCAATGAGGAGACAGCAGGAGGATCAAGGACAGCAGAGGCTGAAGCTCAGGACAAAGGGCTTACAAACAAAAATGAGCAAACTTCCACAGTTTCATGGCTCTGGAGCAAAGGGACCTGCTTCTCTGTGGCAGCTCCCCTCCCTAACCTGTGTGCACCAAAAACAGCCACAGCCAGCCTCGAGCTGCTGTCTAGCATTGTGTTTCATGGTACTTATGAAAATTAGTCAGAGGGCTTGCCTGCTACCTTCAATGGAAAAATCAAGTTTTTTCTCTTGATTTTAAGGTTTGTGCCTTTTATAATGCTTAAAATGAATTATTCTTCCTATCATCTCAGTTTAAGTTGTACTATAATTTAAATAGCTAAACATTAACTGAACCTGAAACAGTTTTGCCCTGCTGAAGGCAGAGACCCTTAATGCATTAGACCCAGGGTAAGAATGGATCCACAACACGGCCAGGGGAAAAGCAGGATACCGAGTCATGGCTGCCTTGTTCACCGTCACTTCACATTATTTTTTGAAGGCATACCAAGATCTGATTGGAATGAGTCCCTGCAACATGACGAGCTTCTCTTGAGCTCTGGAAAAAGTTTCCCATGGGACTTTTCCAGACTGTAAAGATAATTTCAACCAGGGAAAAACATCACTTGCCTTCTTGGTTGCCACCATACTGGTATTTCACACCCCCAAAAATCCACTCTGCTTCTAAATATCTTGGAAGACAGGCACTTCGAAAAGTGTGTGCATCAATCCCTGGAAAAAAAAACAGACCACAAAGTAAGAGGCTAAGATGTGAGAGAGAGGGAGGAAGGCAAGCAAGAAGCCAGTAAGTTTGAAAGGAATCATCCAGGTGGCTAGGCCTTAAAATCATATAAAATTAGTTCTATGACTGTGTCCTATGACAAAAATTCTTATTAGGGTCCATAGATGGGCTTGCAGGATTGGTGAACCCCCAGAAATGATAGGCAAACCTTTGTGCATATGTGCATTTGGTGAAGGGATCCATGGCTTTCATCATATCTCAAAGAAATCCAAATTCCTACGATGGAATAAGTTCCCTCCTTTCTAAAAAAGGGAAAAAACACTATCCTACTTTTCTCGCTGGTTGTTCTAAGGGTTAAATGAAATACATTTGAAGATGTTTTATAAAGTTTGAATAATAAATTTTGAATGCTAAACAATCATCACAATAATAGCTTACTGTAAGCTAGGCACCATACAAAGTGCATTAAATGCAAAATTTTATTTAAGGTGAACAAAGGGGCAAAGAAGGATTAGCTAACTTGACCAAAATCACAAAACTGAAACTGAACCCCATTCTGCCTGACCTCAAAAGCTGAGCTCTAACCCTTCTACCACCTGTGAAGAGATGTATGGAGCTGCTCAGCTATTGCACCTTGCAAGTGGACCCTGCTGCTTCCTATATTTCCCACGTAGAGCCAAGGGCTTGAGCAAGCTCTTGCCAGATTCACCCTTTGAGCCTTGAATTGCTCAACTCTCAGCATTCTGGCCACTGACTATTCCCCCTGTACAAATAGACCTCACTCTAGTAGTGGCTAATAATGTATATACCAAGACATCTGAACTCATAAAGGAGAAAAGGCATTTGCTATTATTATGTCCATTATACAACATATGCTTCCTAATTCGGGACAACCCTTTCCTCCACAGAATTACTACCAAGGAAGGCAAGAGGCAAGCTGAGTAGGGGTCTCATTCTCACCATCCCCCAACCAGCACAGGCACCCAGACACCCAGACGAACCTTCTGTTGCCAGGGCTCCCAGGGTTGCTAGTCTTGCAGCTTTCAATCCAAATCCCAAGTAACTGTAAAATACAGGATTGACTCATTTCACGCTGGTCTGGAAGTTTCCTCTTTCAAAAATCACCTGTCTCCCTCTAGCGGGAGGAAAACCTCGTTCTCTGTGACCTAGTCATCAGTGTGGACAACAAGTGGTAATCTTGTATGGTTCAGATCAAGGCTGTTGCAGTAAGAACTTATCACAACTATGATTTAAAGGCCAGAGACAGTGACGCCTCCAAGAGTCCCACCCTGGGAACCATCCCCAGAAAAGCTCTCATTACCCTTGCTCTCAGCCCCACCATAATCAAACTCTAGGCTGGATTTTGAACATCTGAAGGTAAGCTCAATGGAACTGGCACAGAGCTTTGGCTGAACCTTTTCTGAGTGTCCTCCTTCTAAAGAAAATGTTTGGTTCTTTAAGTAGTATACTTTTGAGGCCACAAATGGAGAAAACTTTGGGTCCCTTGGCCTTTGGTAAGTGGCTTGGGTTTCAGTTGATAGGCCTTTGGGAACTAGCAAAGACTATGTAAGGCTCATCAATAACAGATGTGAAAATGCTTTGGCAAGTTAGGAAAACCATCACACCATGTGAATTATTATTATTCTTCCTTGTCCCCCTTCTCACCTATGTGTATAGAGCTTATAAGTGCTGTTAAACATCTCAAAAGAAGTGAGGTAGTCCCTAGGGGTTTGTTCCAGGGTTTTCTGAAAATCAGAAAAAGCAGAAAGAGATTCAGGACATTCAATTATCTAAAGATGTTATCACCACCATCCCTGCCCCCCACCTCCAAAAAAAATCAGAGATAAAGGAGACAAATTAAACTGCTAATCTCGCAAGGACTGAAGAATCAAAGGGACTCTGAACGGTGACAAAGGGGAGTTTGCTCAGTTGTTAACTGCCTCTACTCAGCCTCTTTGTGGTGGAGCTGTCTGAAAGTGGAACACCACTTTCTTAGCACCTCTATAAGCCTGCCAAGTAAGTTGCTAACCAAACCTTCATGTTAATGACTCACCTGCAACTGGGGCAGGAACGTGATTTGGGTGGAAGCCCCACCCAGGTCCAGGGTCCCCACAGTCTCCTGGCTGTGGCCATGCAGCTGACCTGTGAATGAGAGCCGGTTCTGAACATATGCTTCCTGGACAGCCTAACATTCCTCAGTCTGCAATTTTTTTCCTGCTCTGGAGGAAATCCATATATTCCACTGCTCCCCGCCCACAAAGGCTGCAGGCAAATGCTAACCCAGAAGGACTCTTGCTGCAGCTGAGACCTTGAAATCAGGTTATAAACACTAACTTCCTGTCTTTCCTTTCCTCCCTCCACCCATTTTTTTTCTTTTTTTTTTTTTTTTACAAAAGGAAAGAATAGTACAGGGAAAAGGAAAGGTATTTTTGCTCTTGAACCATGTGTGAAACTCAGTCAAAGTCTTAGGATACACTTAGGAATGTATTACCTGTCAGAAAATTCACAGTAATCCAAGCTAATATGCCTAAAAGAGAAAGACAAGGATTACATCCCAGAGCATTTTCCCCGCTCTTGCTTGGTCCCATCTTTGTTCTTTTTCTAAATTTCATGTCTAAAGCATACATTTCCCTTCTCCCCATCCTTTCATTTCCTACTATTCCATTCCTCCTTGCTTATTTGTTTCTCCTTATTTAGTTCCTTTTTCTTCAGTACCCCATCCCTGTACTCAGTTCCTTTAATTAGATCTTTTATTAACCCTGGCTCTCTCCTCTAGAACATATATCAACACCTCTCCACCTTCATAGGATCCGTCCATGATGCTAACACTGTCATTTGGTACCAGGAAAGGTGACTTCTTGAAGATCTCTTGTACCTAGAGAAAAAGGAAAAAATCTGATTCCCTAAGGCAATAAAACAGATTTCCACTTTTGGGTATATCCTAATATGCTTAGAAAACTACTCTCCAAATCTTTCCCTGAATAAAATTTTAGTAAAACTCATTCCTTTTCCCTAAAGAAACTAGAGAAGGAACCAGGCAAGCCATTATTGGTTTTTTGTAAAAACAAAACACAGGGATTCCTTCGACTTTAAAATAAATCACAACCAAACCACCCACATTTACAGGTGAACTGGACCTAGGAGAGGGCATATATTTGACCCTGCCAGCTCAAATCAGGATTCTGTAATTTTTGTAAAAAACACCTGGTTAATTCTACCTGGACATATATCAGAAGTGAGGAAAGCCCTTTCTTACTCCATTTCATAGATGAACAGATAAACTCAAATAGTAGAGAAGAGTTAGGCCTGGGTGGCTCCCGAGGCTACAGGAAAGTTTCTGCTGCTTTCCTATCAAATTCTATAGTCTTTGTCCTTCCTGGTAAAGGAGTTCATGTCTGCAGGCTGAGGCACTCTGGTGTCAGGCCTTGTCAAATCCTGGCACATGGCTGGGGCCTCAAAACAGTCTAGAGAGCTCCGATCTAGATTCGTTTATCCTATTTTAGGAGATGAACATGAAGATCTCGCACAAATGCTCTTGTCTCGCCATAAATATAGGTCAATGATATGGGTGTTATGTCTTATTTTTATACGATTTTCATTGTGGGGGGCAGTTTCCAAATAGGATTAGGAGGAATTCTAGTCTGTTGGCTGTTCTCATTTCTGATGGGACAAAACACATTATGCAGTGACAGCTGGACTATGTTTCAACTAGGAAAAGGGCGTTAAGTGATCTGGAAACAAGCTTTTAAGTAGATAAGCAAACAGGAATAAACAGAGAGAGTTTCTGCTCTTGCTGTCTCTACCCCTCCCCTCTAGACCCACAGTTTACTTTCAACATAGCAGCCAGAGGGGTGCTTTAAAAACAGACATCAGATCATGTCTCTCCTTAACTCAAAACCCTCCAGTGGCTTCCTTCGTAGAGAAAAGGCCAAAGTCCTTATGCTGGCCTTTGAGGTCTTACGTGAGAAACCCCTCACACCTCTCTGACCTCATCTCCTACCTTCCTTTCATCACTCACTCTTCTCTAGTTTACACTAACCTCGGTGCTGTTCCTTGAACATACCAAGCACATACCTTTGCACCTGCTGTTTCTTTGGTTTGGAATATTCTACCCACAAATGTCGTACAGTTTGTTTCTATATTCCCTTCAGATCTATGATTAAATGCACCTTATCAAAGAGGTCTTCCCTGGCCACCCTATTTAAAATAGCATCTCCCCCACAGTACTCCCAGCATTTCCTATCTGCCTTATCCTGCTTTCTTTTTTCTCCATAGCTTCTAAAGTATCTGACATACTTTGTATTGACTTGTTTATTTTGTCTTTGCTACTAGAATATTAGCTCCATGAAGACAGGAACAGTTTCACTTTTTTGTTCCCTATTCTGTGTCGCCAATAACTTCACCAGTGCCTAGTACATAGTAAAGCATTCATATGATGAATAAACAAGTGAACGACTGAATGAATGAATGGGGAACTGAGATTCAGATTCTCATGCAGATATTCCAGGCAGTTTGTCCTTGGGCAAGGAACCTAAACCCTTTGTGCTGACAGTCAAAGGAGAATGGATTTAGAGGACTGAATTTAGCATACCTGTAATATAGAACCTTTTCTTGCTGTGATTTTTTGTTATAATGGAATTCTGCCTATATTCTTCACAATTTTAAATTTTATTAATCTCATTAATTACATGTTTTTTGCATAATAAAAGTGTACAATGTTAAAAATATTGTTTTTAAAACTGTAGTTTTGATCTAAATGAGCTGAAATAGATTATCTTTAAAAACCTTTCACATTTTATAATTCCACAATTCTCAAAAACTTTATGAGAAAAAAGTCAGACACACACACAAAAGAGTATAAACTGTATGATTCCATTTGCATGAAATGTATGAACAAGCAAAACTAATCTATAATGACATAAAGCAGATCAGTGGTTGCCTGGTTTCATGGGAGGTAGAAACTCTCCTTGCAAAAGACTACAAGGAGTCTATGGCCATGCTACCCTGAACATGCCCCATCTCGTCTGATCTCGGGAGTTAAGCAGGGTCGGGCCTGGTTAGTTCTTGGGTGGGAGACTACCTAGGAATACTGGGTACTGTAGGCTTTAAAAAAAAAAAAAAAAGACCACAAGGAAATGTCTGTATTTGTCAACACTTATTTAACTGTACACTTAAAATGCATACATTTAATTGTAAGTTATTCTTCATTAATGATTAATTGATTAGCTGACTAAAAACAATTTCTGATTCTGCTATAACAAATTAGGAGAATTAAGAATATCATAGACAGGAAGTACTTTAAACTTTTTAGGAAAAGCTCTATAAATTCAAGAGTAACATTTAAAAATGTAAATAGTTACAAAAGAGCCCAGAGTCACCACAGTGCTTTAGCGATGGTAGAATACTAAAGGTAATAGTAACATTCAAAAGGACTTTCAACTCATAAAGAAAATATTTACATAGGGGGAAAGAATTATTCAAGATGCAGAAGACTTCAAAACTTACCTCAAAGAGCAGAGCCTGGGCTTTCTGTTCTGGCAGTAAGCGCAGTCCTGCTGTTGCCTTCAAGACCACTGGGGTCTTTTTCCAGTGACTTCGTGGGATTGAGTCTTTGGCCATCTCTAAGAGTCCTTGAACAGTCTCAGCACCCTTCAATAAGAGACGAGCCACTCATCCAGTTAACAGTCCATACAGTGACACTTGTGCAGTCCCTCATCATGCTCTGGGAGAGCAACAGGAGTGGGGTAGCAGAGGTCTACCTCTCTGCTCCATAGAAGCAGAAACCTAGAGAAGTGGGCTTCTTTGAAGGAGAATCCACTTCATTTTGGTTAAATTATAATAAAAATGATTCTTTTATAGTGTGGTCATTTTAACTGACTGTTATTTTGTGTTTCACATAAATTAGCTTCAGGCCAGAAAGTTGAGTAAAGGAAATGCAGAATTTGGAGTTAGAAGACTTGCTTGCTAGCCCTGTGGCCTAACATTGGGGCTTCCTGGGGCTTGGATTCCTCAGCTGTGAGTTGGGAAAAATGCCTCATATCACCACAAAACTGTTTTGTGTATTAAATAAGGCAGACCATGTATAGTTGCCATACAAATGCTAGCTGTACCTGTTATTATGCTACACATAGGACAGAATGTCAGGTTTAATTTTGCATCACCAGTACTTACATGCATGGTACATAGCAGATGCTCATTTATGATCAATTAAAAACCATTATTCTAAACCCACTGTTCCTGAGTAAGCATCTATTTTGACAACATGCTACCTCTTAATCATAATTAATAGCAATCACCAATCTTTCTCTCTAAATGTCAAATCAGTTTCTGATAATATAGTTGCTTTCAACAGCTCCATTTTCTAGCACATTTGCCATTTCATAGTAGTGAGGTAAGAAAATAAACATCCACCCAGTTTCTTCAAGGTCAAGCCATTTTTAACATCATGTTCTCCTTTGGTTAATGATTATGCTTGTGACACTGAACAATACCTTTATATTTGCAACCAAAGTTCAATATCCTGCCTTATTCTATTTTATTTCAGTATGGCCACTGACACATTGGGGGTTGCATGTTGCAGGTGCTCAAATGTGAAATACAGTCACAAAAAAGCTCTTCATTCATCCTCTACTACCAAAGATTTTTGTCATCATGGGTTCTTGCCTAATTTCGAATATAGCCATAGTTCTGTCCCATATCAGGGCATTCTGAAATGGAGTTTACTGCATCTACATTCTCTCAGTTGTCATGTTTATATTTCAAACCATATAGAGCATCATGTTCATCTTCTGCATCTACATTAGTCAATGCAGGTGATAGCTTCAACTCAAAATCTTAAACAGTAAATACAAAGAGAGCAATCTCCTAAAAGAGATTGCATGGTCACAATCTATTTTAGCCTCTTTCTATCAAAGCCCTAGTGAGCTCGGGGTATACAATTACTGTTTATGCAGGATATTAGCAGAGGACAGAAAACTGATCTCACATATGACCTCAATATCAGCAGTGAACAGCATGAGATATTCAACAGCAGCAGTGTGGTACTGTTATCAAGGCACTGAGAATCTAAATATCTAATTTAAAAAAAAACAAACAAACAAACTCACCTGCTTAGGTTGATCTACAAAAGCAGAAAGTCCTGGCTTCACAGAATCAAAAATTTCCCCTTCCAGAACTGGAAGCTGTCCTATTTCGTCCATGGAACAAGACAGAAGAGAAATATCTGATTACCAAAAGTTAGGCTGCTTCTGATACTGGGCTCTGTATCATATGACCTACTAGATTAACCTGCTATTCTCTTGAGTTATTTCAGATAATCCCACTTGTGAGGAATGGCTTGCGGAGTATTTCAGATAATCCTACCTGTGAGGAGTATTGGGTAGGGGGACAGAGGATGATAGGCAGTCTTTGAGAGTCCTTCTGTCATTTCTCTGTTGTACATCTAGTTCCTACTCCTTTCCCTAGGCTCTATATGTAACCTGAAGACAAATACTGGAAATTCAGGAAAAGTTAATATTCAAGGTCCCCTTATTCCCTTCTCCAAGGATAGTAGTGATCCTTCTCTTAAGACTACTTTCAATATTCTCAATATTCTGGACCCTGGAGTATTAACTACCTTCAGAGAAAAAAAAAGACAAATTACAGCCATACTTCTTGAACACATAGGTTTAAAACTACAGGCAGCCCAGATCACTCTTAATTTTACACTGAATTAAAACATAGAAAATATTCTTTGAAGAAAGATACTCAGTAGCTCTAAGATTCTGTAATTCATACCACACACTCTCAGCACATTTGTTTCTGGGAGGAGATGCTGGAGTATGAATTTACTGACTCTGGTGAGGGTACCAGTTGCACTTACCTGGTATTTTCTGCACAAAGGTGTAAACATGAATTCGTGTTCCAGTGCTCCCTGCATCGAACATGATTCCATACAAGATGCTGGCACTGACATTGACGGGGCACATGGAAGACAGGAAGATACCCTCAAACCAAGTCTGCTGGTCTCTATGGAAGTCAGTGCTACAGACACAGGATGCCACCAGCATGAAAAAGGCTGCCCCCCACGAAGTGGCCATTCTCTTCCCAAGATGTGGTGAGTCTAGGTTTTTGTTGCAGAAACAGTGCTGCTCAAATATCTGCAGTGGCTTACAGGACTAAGATACACAGGTTAGACCAACTGGCCTTTTTGTTTATACCTGCAATATAAGAAACACCAATTATAGAAATCCTATCCTTTTCCCCAAGATGCTCTTTGTCTAATAACTAGCACAACCAGCCAGACCAGGGTTACATAGGCTCTTAGCAGCTTTTCTGAAGGCCATCTGGTGGCCAAAGGAAATCAGGATTTAAAAAATATTTTCCCATGCTCTGCTTTTAATTGTAGGGTGGATCTCACATACTCAGACTCTCTCTGCCATCCTGCTTTCATTGAGTTTAATTTTCTTTCCATTTTAACAGTTTTGATTTTAGTTATATACTAACCCTTCCCCCTCCCATTTCTATCTCTTCTTTTTGATATAAGAAGCTTTGTTACGGCTATGCCACCCTGAACGTGCCTGATCTCGTCTGATCTCAGAAGCTAAGTAAGGTCGAGCCTGGCTAGTACTTGAATAGAAGATTATCTAGGAAGACCAGGTGGTGTAGGTGTAATAACTAAATGAATGAATGGATGAATGAATGAATGAATAAATAAATAAGCAAGCTTCAATTTCTGAATTAAAGTTATAAAGTTCCAAAGAAGTTATAAAGTCCCTAGCACCAGGGTGTTTACAGCCTTCAAAAATGAGGGCACTGGACTGTCACCTGTGGCCAATGATATTACTAATGGCTTGAACATACGTTCACATTTTAAGGAAATAAATCAACTAAATTTAAAACACTTATATAGAACCATTATGGTTTTTAAAACATCCTTTACAGGTTTTAGGTCTTATCTCCCTAAGAAATTAAGGTGGATGGGCATATTAAGACAGAGAAGTTCAATGACTTGCTGAAAATTATAAAGCAGGTCAGTGATGAGACGCTAATCAGAAATTAGTCTTCACTCTCACCAGTATTAATAAAGAATGCCGTATCTATACTTTAACATGTAAGGCTTCCTTAATTGTTCCTATGTACTTTGTCAAAACAGCTTTGGGTCTTCTGATCCAGCTTTCATCTCTGGACTTCACCTTTGTACAGGTCATAGATTCTGGTTAAACAAGATTTAATTCCAAAGTCCTCAATTCCCAGTCCTTTTATCTCTAACAATACTCAGAGTACAGACTGAGATTTCTCAATCATTCTCAAGTTTGTTGTTTCTCCTACAGTTTATCAAAATGTGTGCCTCCCAATAGGTAACACAGAACATAAAATAAAGCAAATTAAAGTTAATTGCATTTGGAATTTAAAACAATTTAAAAAACTAGAGTTGTTCTGAGGTACTACGAAGGTAGACTTATCAGTTTGAATACTATTCAAGGCCGAACTTTTATCCTGAGGAATTAGAGCTATTGACTAGGAAAGGAAAACTTTTACAATCTCACGCAAAGGGAACTTTATCCTAGGAAACTGAAACAGGGCAGCTGCCAGGCCAGATTCAAACTCATCTCTTAAATCACTCCCTTTGGCTGATTCTTATTTTACAGCAAATAGGCTGGTCATGTAAATCAATCAAAATAACTGAAAACAAAACAAAAACCACCTTTAAGTTTCTCTGAGTGTTAACAGACCCTTGCCTTGTCCAGAGCTGGAACCATATTCACCACTTGGTCCCTGTTCTCCCTCATGAAGTATATTTAAAGGCTCTTGAGTCACCAGTCTTCCATCTCTGTGACTAATGGCATAGCAGCTTCTTTAGGGCTCACTCATATTTTCTCTATTGTGGTTTCTGAAAAATCTCTCCGGCTTCTATTTCCATTAAGCAAACATTTGTTTTTCTTCCAACAGAGATTTCAAGGGGGGCGGGAAAAAAGCATACGAGGTATTTGTTTTCGTCAAATGAAAACTGCAGAGTCATGCCAGGTGTTCAGTGTAAAATCAAACAGATTTTAGGGAAATCAAAAGATGAACACATAAAATGCTCCTTGTCTTGCCTCCTACCTCTAACACCACTTCCAATCCCATTTTTCTTTAAGGTTAGCTACTTTAAGAATGGTAGTAGAAGAGCTTACAATTAGAGTATATAGAATAGCATCCTATTTACATGACACCAGCTTGCACAGTTTGCTCATTCACTGTTAGTCATTGCTTAAATATCACTGTGTTCTCAATGAACTCTTGTCCACTCTATTTAAAATTGCAACCCACCTGGTCACATACATGTCTTCTACGTTCCTTCCCCATTATTTCTCCATAGCACTTCTCACCTTCTAATACACTATATCATTTACATTGTTTTCCCCCATACTCCCTGCTCTGTGACCACCCCCTGCCCCCTGGACAATGTGGACATACGCAGGACTTTTTGTCAGTTTTGTTCACTGATGTGTTCCTGGTGCTGGAACAGTGCTACCACATAGTAGGTACTGAAAAAATACTCTGAAAGGATGAACAGTAATCCAATAGCTCAGGGACTGGATCTTACCCATTTAACAAGAAATATGATAGCTGACTTCTTTCTAAAAAGAGAATAATTACCTACCCATTGGAAGATCAAGATTTCAAACTTCCAAGGAAGGACTGCTTCTCCAAATGTGTCAATTATAAAAAGTTTTATATGCTACTCAAAATAATGTACATAGGTTTATTTTCTATAGACTGGAGAGTATACATCAATATATTTAAATCCACTACTTTCAGAACTGGTCTTCTCAATATCTTACAATCTCCTATTCACCCCCGACAAACCCCCATCTTCTTTTCTTTGAGACTTTGGTGCCAATGTTTTGTCACTATACCCATCTCCTTCTAAGGTCTTTTTCAGTGTATCTTTGTTTCTGTAGTAAACACTAATCCTCCTACTCAGCCTCTCCAGAGCTTCACATTCTGAATTCCCTTCTTCCATGTCACCCAGAGCCTGAGAGACCATTGTTCCATAGGACCCGGGCCCCACCTGGGTGCTCACCTGCTCGTATTTGCCAGTTCCCTGCGAATCCTTGCTTTCACTGCTGCTTGCCTTTTGCTCTTTGCTCTTATTTCAGCCCTTCTGAATCAAGCTAGCTTCATGAATCACATTTACCTTTGTACTAGCTTGCAACTGTGTGGCATTTTGCCTACTCACTCCTTTCTTTATCCTTCACTCCTCCCTTCTGCCTTTTCTCTGGGTACATATGATTGTCTGGTTTGTTTATTTTTATGACAGTTAAGTGCCAACTAATAGATTCTATAGCTTATAGGGCAGAAGTTGCTCAAGAACTGAATTCTGTATTTTTTTACACAGGAGATTAATTACCTACCAATGAATGTTTTACAAGATTACTTAATAATATTTTGTTTACAATTACATAATACTATTAATTCTCTACTAATTCATGTTTTTACAACATTAGCCCAATAGTATAGAATTTAATAGTACTTCTTGATAGCTTCCATCCTTGAAATGAATTTAGAAAGCTGGGCATTAAACTGTCTAATTAATAAGCATTTACTGAGTGTCTAATATATAACTGATACTGTGCTAACTTCTAGATACAAAAGAGGAATAAGGTATAGGCCCATTTCTTGGTGAGAATTCAGCTTACTAGAAGAAACGCACAAGTAAACCAACAGCTATAATGTACTGCGGTAAGTTCTCTAACTGAAATAGGCACAGGGTGTGACAAATAGACTTAAAGGGCAAATAACTCATCTTAGAAGGGGAAGGATGGAAGTGGGAAGGGAGTGAATGGTAGGCTTCTCAAGGGGGATGAGAGGCCTAAGCTGGGTCCTAAAGCAAAGGTAGAAATTAACCTGGTGAAGTGACATGAAAAAAATTTTGAGTTCAAGTACTAAAAGAGTTCAGTATGAGTCTATGGTCATGACACCCTGAACATGCTGGATCTTGTCTGATCTAGGAAGCTAAGCAGGGCTGGGCCTGGTTAGTACTTGGATGGGAGACCACCTAGGAATACCAGGTGCTGTAGGTGGGAAAAAACAAACAAATGTTCAGAATGGCTGGAATATAAAGGTGTACTAGAATAGAGGGCAGGTGTGAGAAAGGATGGTTCTGGAGGCAATGAAACAGATTTCAGAATGAGTAGACTTGTTTTTCTTACATGTACAATTCCATGGTGACACCTGTTATTTAAGTTTCTATTTCTTCCATAAGCAAATATCAATACTGATTGACTTGCATAAAATGACACAGTATTTCTCAACAGTGGAAAATAATGGAATAGGACAGATGACTAGAAAGATCCACCAAAAATTCTGAAAACAGTGAAATGTAAAAGCAACCACTGCCAATTCTTTAGAGGTCCACAGCAAAGCTGGCTTTAACAAAGTTAAAAATGAAACACTAAGGAAGATTAAAATGTAACTAAAATTAAATTTTTAAACAATAAGCTGAACTATGAGAATGGATTAGTCAAAACACCCAAAGCTTAAGTTAACCAAGCAAAGCAAAACCAAAGTAAGCCTAATAAGGTAAATCTGGAACAGATTTCGGCATAGTGAGCAATGCCTCATTTGGGGATATAACTGGGGACCTACATACCCAGTACCAAGGTCCAGGGCCTTGTAACACCTTGCTATCTATCTGAAGGGTATCTAAGGTGAGGTGCATGATATCTTTTGTATTTCCCAAACCAAATACTGACCTGGAACATATCAAACATCAGTAAGTGTGTCCTGAATGGACTTGGTACAAATGGGCTAATGGTACCTGCAGGAGCATTGGGGCAGGGAGTACCCTGCTTCCCAGTGTCTCACTATGGCTAAGTGTCACATCTTCAAATCCCCATTACCCTCCAAACCAGCCTATGGATAGGAATGCTATTCCAGAAAGCCTGTTTACTCATATATTAATTCTTTCATTTAGCCATTCGAGAACTTATCAGTTGCCTAATGCTACTTACAAGTACAGCATTCAAAGATGAATCATCACAGACCTGCCCTTTAAGAGGTTGCAGTAAACAGGAAAATACATGTCAATTAATTACCTCTGTAAAGTTAAAATGTGACAAGTAGCACAGTTACGATGCTGAGACTTCAAAGCAGGGAGAGATTACTTCCAGCTGGGATGATCAGAGAAGGTTCTGTGGAAGAGGTGGCATTTGAGGAAGGTCCTGAGAAGAGGAATTAGGACAGGAGAGGAGTGCTTTTCTGAAAAAAGAAACAATATGGATGTAGAAGAGGGATGGAGAGGCCCGGGGGAATGGTGAACAGATCAGTTTGCCTAACTGTAGTAGGAAATAAAGTTGGAAGGACAAATTGTGGTCAGATAGTAGAGCATCAAATATTAGGCTAGGGAGTTTAGACTTTGTAGGCAATGAAAGCCATGGAAGATTTTGAGCAAGGGAATATTACAAATATGAATCTGGCAGTTACATGTAAGGATTGGGGTGGAGAGCCTTCGTAGGCTCCACTCAATTGTCTAATTCTATACATTTACTGATGTCTACTAAGCACTAGTTACCAGAGAATTAAAGGTAAATAAACAGACCTTTTCATTCAAGATGCTGAGTTTGGCAGATAGTAGGGAAATTATGGAGTCTGACTTCATTTTTAAATTTCTTCAGGAATGTCTGTCACATGGATTTGAGAAACAAAGCGGAAAAAAAAGTAGAAGACTATAGTGGAGGAAGGTATAGAAGAGGAAGGTTAGCACTCAATGCAGAGGAAAGACTGTGGCCAAAGGAACACAATCTGAGGTAATAATGGCAGCTAATATTTACTGAGACCTTAATACTTGCCAAGCACTATGTTAAGTGTTTTACATAGATTATCTCACTTAATCTCATAATACCACCCTGTGAGGTAGGTTCTATTATTAATACCCCGTCAATAAATGAGAAAACAGAAGCTAAGGAAACTAATTTAAGACCACACAATAGTAAGTGAAAAGAGCCAGAAATCAAACCCAGATTGTCTATTTCCAGAGCCTAGACTAGGTTACTCTGGAAAGGTCATCCAGTATGGCTCTAGCAAGGGCTGGATATGGGCGTGTAGAGCAGAGAATGGTCAGATATGAAGCTGTTAAGTTAGACTGGCATAAAACTGTGCAAGTCTTAGAGTAGTTTGATCTCCTTCCTATACATGATCAAGGGTTTTTGATGTTTTCTGCTGGTTCGACCTTTATTACATTTCCAGAATCTGAACATTTCTGACCACTTTCATCACCACCACCTTGGCCCCAGCCACCATCACCTTATGTGATTTACTCTAATATTGTTCTAACAAATTGCTGCTTTTACCCTCATTCCTCTAGTCTATTTTTAATAAGCAACCAAAGCCATCTTTCAAAAATGTGTTAGAGTATCTCTCCTCCACAAAATCCAGCAATGGCTTCCCATTTCCCTTAGAGTAGCAAGGTCCCAACAATAGCTTTCATGGATCCATCTGCTCTGCCTCACTCCCTTTACCCCTCATCTACTAATAGTTTTCACCTTATTCTCCTCATGCTGACCTCTGTGCTTATACGTCACACATGCTCCTGCCTCAGGGCCTTTGTTTGGAACAATCTTTTCCATACATCCACTTGATAAATTCCTGCAACTCTTTCAAATCATCGTCCAAATGCCCCTCTCTTATTGAGGCCCATCTTCAATACCATAACCTCCCTCCCTCATGTGCTCTCTACCCCTGACTGCTTTCTCAATCCCCTTTACTCTGATTTACTTTGTTTTCCATACCACTTACGACATTCTAACTTTCTAGATGGCTTGTTTATTCTGCTCATTGTCTATGTTCCTATGATATAAGTTCTTTGAGAGCAGGAATCTTTTTTGTTTACTGATGTAGCTCGAGCACCTAGAAAAGTCCAAGTAGGTGCTCAACCGAAACTGACAGTAGGGATAAACTGCAAAGTGGCATAAAAAGGGAAAAAATAATACATTCATAGTTATATTTTTAAGAGAATTAATGAATACCTAATCTAGTCATTGTTTTAGAAGAAATTATAATTTTAGTTTTCTGAATCTATTAAGCTAAATTGAATTTCTTTAACCACTTTCAAATTGTTAATATTGTGATTAACTTTCAAAAACAATCTAAATACGAAACATTGTTTACATTGTCTAAATTCTTTTCTATTAAACCAATAAATATTTTAGGATGCTGTACATTAATTATCTATCGCTGCACAATAAATAACCCCAAAACTTAGTTTCTTAAAACAATAAACATTTATTATCTCCAGTTTCTGTAGTTCAGGAATTTGGGAGTGGATTAATTGGACAATTCTTGCTCAGGGTCTCTCATGATACAGTTGTCAGGATGTAAGCTTGGGCTGCAGGCATCTGAAGGCTTGACTGAGGCTGAGGACCCACCTCCAAGATGGCTCACTCAGTGGTTGGCAAGCTGATGGCTGGATGTTGGAAGTAAACCTCAGCTACTTCTCATGTGGACTCTCCACTGGGCCTTGAAAATCTTCACAACATGGTGGCTGGCTTCCTCCAGAGTGGGCAATCCAAGAGAGAGCAAGGCAGAAGCAGCAATGTTTTTTATGACTTGGCCTTGTTCATACACTATCACTTCCTCTATATTCTATTGGTCATACAGACCAATCCTGATGAAATATGTGAGGAGACTACACAAGGACATGAATATTAGGAGGTGAGGTTCATTGGGGGCCATCTTGGAGGCTGGCTACAAGTTATATACAGTATTTGCACAATATTTTGTATTCAGCTTTTTTTTTCAGTTTATATATATTTCTATTAACATAGCTTACATACTTTTTGTTTTAGGAAGTAGATGTTTTTCCAAAAATATTAACTCTTAAAAACTGAAAACAATATGGACTTTAAACTTCTCTTTTAACCACTTGAAGCTTTCCATTTTTTCTTACAGTCTAAATATTTTACTTAATGAAAGAATTAAAATCAGGACAACTACAACTCACACAATGTCCTCTTTGTTGTTCCTAAGGGTGAAAGTGAATTTAAATACTTCAAATAAAAGTCAGATATATTATGAAAGAGTAGGAATTAATGATTCATTATATTTAAAATTATAAACATGTTAATAACTGAATAAAACTAAGTGAAATTAAATACTAAATCAAGGAAGATATAAAGTGGAAATACTGATATTAACAGAATGGCAATTTCCTTTACGCTACTACGGAAAAAAGTTTCTAATCATACAATGGTAGCATTAATACTTAAGTACTGAAGAGATATTTGGTAGAAAGAGACAAGACTGACTATAGCACAGATCTGAAAAATACTGAAAAATTTTATAAGAAGAATTTTTCAAATAGCAACTAAATAAAAGAAATTTATTTAAAAATCAACTTTTATTAGATTATTGCCAAGAAGCTATAATAAAGACCTGTAAGCATGGAAACTACAATGGCAGAGACGGAAGAAGAAGAAGAATTTCCCAATAGTATGAGTTGTTTCATGTTGGTGGAGAAGTGAGAATTTTTACCCCAAGGGCTTAGCCTACATTGGACCACACTATCCAAAGTAGATTCACAGATCAGGATGCTGGTTGATATCTTTTAAGGTCATTCCAATCCTGAGATCAAATACTTTTAACTCCCAATAAAAGAATTAGAATTGATGCATTGATGGTTATCAAAAAATATAAAATTCTTTCCTATAAATAGATCTTTTTCTGCACTTTATTACATTTTAATCAAAACATCATTAGACAAGGCTCCTTCTATATAATGAAACCATTTGAGTGTTATACCAAAATGACATCAGGTAGTATATGACTTCATTCTTCGTTTCAGGCTTGACTTAGCTACATAATCAAAGCATGGGGAAAGCTGTAACTATTGTTGCCTATTGTTCTTCATAAGTCACAAGGCCTTTCATTAAGAGTGAAAGTTCTCTAGATTAAGAAAATACTATCAATCAGGAGGGGGTTAATAGCGCCCCAATAAGCAAATATAATGAAAATCTAAGGTGATAAATAATCTCTGCCTCTAAACCCATACCCACTGTGGGAAGCACTTACTGCAGAGGAATAATTACAAGGGTCAATGCCATATGTCATTGTCTATATTGGAGTTTGTGGGAAGAGAAGTGAAAACATGTTTTCCCTTTCTTGTTAGCAAGTGAAAAATAGCTACTGCTTCAAACAAGTTATATGAGAAAGACTGAAATATTACAATACTTCATGTATAAGACAAGGAATAGAGATTCTATGTAAGTACATTTCCTCAGATGTGTCTTTAAGATGCTTCCCCTCTAAATACCTTAACATTTTTATTTTCACAATGTTTTGTAAAAATGTCTCTAAAGTAACATTTATGGTTTAAGGTTTTGATTATGATCATCAGTTATATTTTTCTGTAAACCTGGTATGCCTCCAGGGGCTACAGGTTTATAGGATTATTTGCCCTTCTGCCACTAAATGGACCCATTACCATAATTTTTGAGCTGGTTTTATTTGACATCATGCTATTATTATGTGCCTGACTCCTTTGATAAGCTGCCATTATCTAATTTGAAAAAATCTTTTGTGGGAGGTGGATCGGAGATCTATATTTATTACACTTTGTCAATTTATGCAAATGAAGACCTCTCCAATAGAATAAAGGTTGTGAACTTTGTGACAGCTCCTTTAGCGACTCATAGATTTCTTTCCATTTGTTATAAGCTCTCGGCTTAGAATAAGAAAGCAGAATTTGCAGAAATCTGACCTATGGAAAAGTGCAGTATTACTTTATATAGGTTACTTACCAATTTTTCCTTTCCTTTCTGGGCTTTCCCCGTTTCCTTCAACTAATATGTCACTCTCAACCTGTAGAAAATGGACATGGATACTCATATAAGAGCAATGTTCTCTCCTTTCTCTGTCAGTATGCCTATTTTTGATGTAGTTATCTCTTTCACATTTGTTTTGAATCTGTTCAGGCTTTGGAAATCAGATCACCAAACTCATTTCCTGACTGGCAGTTGTACTCTTGGACTTTTTCACCTCTTCCACTCTTTCTTTTTATTCAAACTACAACTGCGGCCACTCTTATAAAATCACTTGTTTATAAAATCAGCAACAGCAAAAGGAGGCAAATCACACTCCCTCTGAAAGCTAGTGTATATTTTTGTGTAAATGTATGGTGAGGGGCAGTGAGTAAAGAGCTAATCCGCAAACAAAGTGCAGTTTATGCACTTTGTTTTGTGAGGTTTTTTTTAGGCTGTGAAGAACTCAAGTACTAGTTGCGTGTTCCAAGTGTGACAAAAAGCAACCACTTAGTATTACATTTATGAGGATGTGGTTAAAAGGGACCAAGCCAATCCCAGTCCTAGGTACATACCCAAAGAATTGAAAACAGGGACTCGGATCATTTGAGATCTTGCTCCCTGTCATATGTTGCCAGTTTGGCAACTTTTATAAAAACTAAAAGAAAAAAAACACGACTCAAACAGATATTTCTATGCCAAAGTTCACGGCAGCATTATTCATAAGAGCCATAGATGGAAACAACCCAACTGTCCACCAACAAATGCAGACATAGACAAAATAATATACACATATATATAATAGAATATTATTTATCTATAAAAAGGAATGAAGTTCTAATACATACGACGTGGGTGAACCCTGAAAATGTTATGCTAAGGGAAAGAAGCCAGACACAGAAAGACAAATATTATATGATTTCACTTATATTAAAATAACAAATAGGCAAATTAATTGACAGAAAGTAGATTAGAGGTCATCAGGGGTTGGAGGAATGGAGAATGGGAGCTATTACTTAACAGGTCCAGAGTTTCTGTCTGAGGTGATAAATAAGTTTTGGAAACAGTAATGATGATTGTACAACACTGTGAATGTAACTCATCCCACTGAATTATATATTTAGAATGGCTAAAATGGCAATTTTTATGTTATACATCTTGTACCAGTAAAAAAAAATTAAAAACAGAAGGAACCAAGCATTTCAAACATAAGGTCATAAGAGGAAAATCGGGACTATTATTTCAACATAGTTAACAGTATGACAACAATCCATCCCTGTGCTACTTCCTGAGTTAAATTCTGAAGGGTAGTACTGACACTCAGAAAATGTCTTTAAGCATGAGTTTATACAGTATCTTCCATTCTCTCAGAAAGTTAAACTTACCTATGCAACATAAATCTGAAAATTATACATTCAAGAGAGAATATAAAGTGTTATAAATTCTAACTATAGTGTAAACATTTTCAAGAAGGGTCTTCTAACATTTTATTGACTACAACTTAAACACTTCTCCAGAGGATTTCAGGTCGAGATGGTGGAGTAAGTAAATACTGCTTGTCTCCTTCCATAATCGTATCAAAATTACAACTAAACTATAGAACAACCATTGCTGATGACCTCCTGAAGACTAGCTGAACAGAAGTCCAATAACTAAGGATATAAAGCAGAAGCCATGTTGAGAAAGGCAGAAGGGGCAGAGATGCAGAACAGGCTGTTCCCACATTCATGTGAGGCAGTTAAAAATGTGGAGGGATATCTTGGGCTGCAGAGGTCCCCCCTGGGGAGTGAGGGGTCACAGCCCCAGAGCAGGCTCCCTAGGGTTCCAGTGCTGGGTAGAGAATCTCCATAACTTCTGGATGTGAAAAACAGCATGGATTGTACCCTGAGTGAGAGGAGGGCTGCTGGAGACCCAGGTGTTTCTCTTAAGGGGCCCCGCGCCAGGACTTAGTTGCTGCCGGACTCACTCGCTCTGAGCTCCAGTGCTGGGACAACAGTCCCAGCAGCTAGATAAATGCCAGGGACACATGGGAGGAAATGAATTGTCTGGCTTCAGGGTGAGGGCTGCAGAGGCAGCGTTCTTCCTGAAAGAAGTGCTGGCAGAAGCCATTGTTCTTTTGTTGAGCCCTCCCTCCACCCACCTATAGGCATAGGTGGGAGCCAAGTCTGAGTCCCTCTCGACCTGACCAAATTGTTTGCCCCCACCCTGGTGATTCCCTGTGCCACCCAACTTGTGGGCCCATCCAAGCCACTTCCAGTGGTTTCTTCATGCAAACTGCCTGTTTTGGCTTATGCTGCGGACTTTCCTAAAACTCTTTCAAAGGTTCACAAACCCTAAATAAGAAGCATCTGGCCTCAGCCTGCCCTGTACCTCTTGCTAAGTGGCCTAAAGCCTGGCAGTAATAGCAGCCAGTTTCAGTTTGCAGTTTAGCTTCTTCCAGGCACCACCAAGCCTAGCACGAACTGTAACCATCAGCGGATTATTCTGTAGCTCATACCATATGGCCCCAGGCAGGGCAAAGGCCGTGGCTGACTTGGACCTGCACCAAAGCTCCTCCCAAGAGGTCCCAGAAGCAACACACCTGGTGGCCAGCTTCGGACCATACCAGCACACCATCCAACTACCTCCACAAATGACACACGCAAAAGGTGGACTCGGTAGGCATAAGAGCCCCACAAAAGCGAATCCTGCTTTGTGAGTTCTGCCCTTGCATAACAGCTCCTCCACTGTAGTCATGGCCAGTCCTCATAGCCAATCAGTCTGAGGGTCAGTCCTTCCCACTGATGTACCAATAGCAGTCAAGGCTCAACTGCAAAAGGAGAGCATATACAACCCACACAAGGGATATACCTGGAGCACCTTGCTCAGGTGACCAGGAAGACTGTGTCATTGGGTCCCACAGAACACCAACTATATAAGGCCACGCTATCAAGACCAGAAGATGTAGTGGCTTTACCTAACACATAGAAACAAACATAGGGAGTCAGCCAAAATGAGGAGACAAATAAATACGTCTCGAATGAAAGAACAATACTAAAAAAAAATAGAACTAGATAAAATGGAGACAAGCAATCTACCCGATGCAGAGTTCAAAACACCTGTAAGGATGCTCAATGAAATAAGGGGAAGAGTAGATGAACTCAGTGAGAACTTTAACGAAGAGACAGAAACAAAATAGACATAGAAAACAAAAAAGAACCAGTCAGAAATGAAGAATACAATAATTGAAATGAAGAATACATTAGAAGGAATCAACAGTAGATTAGATGAAGTAGAGGATAGAATCAGCAATTTGGAAGAAAGGTAGCAGAAAACATCCAATCAGAACAGCAAAAAGAATAAGAATTCAAAAATATGAGGATAGTTTAAGGGGCCTGTGGGATAACTTCAAGCATACCAACATTCACATCATAGGAGTACCAGAAGGAGAAGAAAGAGTAAGGAATTGAAAACCTATTTGAAGAAATAATGATGGAAATGTTTCCTAACTTGGTGAAGGAAATAGACATACTAGTCCAGGAAGTACAGAGTCACAAAAAAGATGAACTCAAAGAGGCCCACACCAAGATACATCATAATAAAATGCCAAAGGTTAAAGACAAAAAGAGAATCTTAAAAGCAAGAGAAAAGCAGTTAGTTGCCTACAAAGGAGCTCTCGTAAGACTGATTTCTCAATAGAAACTTTGCAGGCCAGAAAGGATTGGCAGGAAATATTAAAAATGATGAAAAGCAAGAACCTACAACCAAGATTACTCTACCCAGCAAACCTATCATTTAGAATCAAAAGAGAGATCAACAGCTTCTCAGATTAGAGAAAGCTAAAGAAATTCATCACCACAGAATCCACTTTACAAGAAATGTTAAAAGGACTTCTTTAAAAAGGATAAAAATTTAAAAGGTCAAAAATGTGAATAATAAAATGGCAATAACTATATACCTATCAATAATTCCTTTAAATGTAAGTAGATTAAATGCTCCAGTGAAAAGACATAGTGTGGCTAAATGGATAAGAAAACAAGACCCATACATATGCTGTCTACAAGAGACTTAATTCAGATCAAAAGACACACTGACTGAAAGTAAAAGGATGGAAAAAGATATTTCATGTAAATAAAAATTAACAAAAAGCTGGGGTAGCAATACTTATATCAATCAAAATAGACTTAAAACAAGAGACAAGAAGAACCTAGCAATTCCACTTATTAGTACTTATCTAAAGAAATCCAAAACACTAATTTGAAAAGACATGCATCCCATGTTCATTGTAGCATTATTTACAACAGCCAAGAAATGGAAGCAACCTAAGTGTCCACTGATAGATGAATAAAAAAGAGGTAGTACATATACACAATGGAATATTATTCAGCCATAAAAAAAAAAAAATGAAATCTTGACAACATGGATGGACCTAGAGGGTATTAGGCTAAGTGAAATAAGACAAATACCATATGATTTCACCTATACGTGGAATCCAAAAAACAAAATAAACAAACCAGAAACAAACTCATAGATACAGAGAACATTATGATGGTTACCAAATGGGAGAGGTATTGGGAGATGAATGAAAAAGTGGAAGAGATTAAGATGTGCAAACTGCCAATTATAAAAACGGTCACAGGAATGTAAAGCACAACTTAGGGAATATAGTCAATAACATTGATTAGTACTATACTTATTGGAGTGATCACTTTGTAAGTTATATATCTAGGCACTATGTTGTATACTTCAAGCTAGTATAATACTATATATCAACTATAATTGAAAAATTTAAAAATATTTTTAAAGTTTAAAAAAAGCCCTTCTCCAGATATTTGGAATCCTAGGATAGAATGAGCGGTACCTACCCCAAGGCTTGCAATCTTGACAACACTTCCATTAACTTTCCCTTTTAAAAACACTTCAAACAGGAGACACTTCAAACTGGCATCTCCAAACATCCCCCTTCTTCGGCATCTCTGCCCCATACACACAGAGAGGGTTAAATGGATTCCCCTTTAATTTGCTGTTTCTACTAGTGGCACCACACATTTCCTAATCAACAACTCAAAATCTTCACCATCTGTGAATTCTCCCCTCTCCTGCCATCTATATTTCAATCTGTTATGAAGGACTGGTGATTTTTCCTTTGCAATGTCTTTCCCATATCTTTCTCTTTTTTTTCTCCTAGTTCCCTGAATCTAGATTCCAACCTTTATTACTTGACTTGGACTGCTATGAAACTCTGAACTGGTCTTCTCATCACCAATGTATCTATTCTCAAATCTATACACTACTGTCATCCTAAAATGCTGTTTTCATCATTTTCCCACTAGATTGTAACCCATATTATTGCAGGGATTCATTCATCTTTAAACTTGGAATATAACATGTTTAATTAATGTTTGCTGAATGAATTAATGAATACATAAATCACATCACTCTTCAAAACTTTCATCTATTTCTCATTGTCTACAATGAAAGATACAAACTCAAACTCTATACGCCTGACTATAAGCCACTTTAAAGCAAGGATCCTATCTTGTCCCCCATTGTACCCCTCAAGCTATAGGAGAGCCTGGTATTCAGCGGGTACTCACTAAACATTTCTTAAATGAACATTTGACAGATCCATGAAAGTACAGATAAGCTGGCCTGAAATGTGGGTATATAATGTTTTTTAGAGAACTTTCAGTCCTGCGTAATGGCTTAGTCAGAACGACAACTAATAAAAATTGGATATGTTGCAAATAAAATGGCAATAGGTAATAATTAACAGGCAAAACATTTTGTATATAAATAAAACAGTAAACGTTTAAAAAAACTGATTTAAAAATTGATGAGAATAAATCCTTGATCTCCAGGATTTCTCATTCCTGCAAGGATTTAAACTAGTTATAATATCACAAGATAACACCTATTTAATAGAATTCTATATTTGCACATATGCAATAAAAAGTAATATAGGAGAAGAACCAAAATGGGGTAGATGACAGAGGCTCTGTTCATCCCTCTGGCGACCAAATCAAAGTTGTGACGGAAACAAGGAGCAGCAGCAAGGAAAAACTGCCTGGGATCTTGATGAATAAGGCATATAATTAGGGAGAAATCCAAGAAAGCACCCTGCAACGGCAGAAAGTAAGATGGGGCGAGGACGTGGGGCAACCCACTCTTGAGCAGCTGAGACAGAGGCTGCGGCAGCAGCAGATGCCTCTTAAAGAGGCTGCGTCCTCGAGCAGATTTTCGCGGTGACAGACCTGCTCGTTCTGAACACCAGTGCCGATTGGGCTGCGCAAAGGGGGCACCAGGGACTTACAAGGAGACACTGTCAGAGTGAGGGCCGAAGGGAGACTCGCTCTGTACAGAATGCTGGCAGTATCCATCGTTCCCTGTTGAGCCCTGCCCACTACCAGTGCGTGGACACAGTGTCACCATTGCCGTGAGGTCATCAGACTGGATAACAGAGGTTGCTCCGCCCATAAGATTCTCTGAAACTCCACTTCCCCCAACTCATGGCCCCACCCAAGCCACAACCAGGTTTATCCTCAGTGAGTCAGATGCTCCTTGCTGAGCAGCGCCTAGCCTCACACTGGAGCCAGCTGGCCTCGGTTTCTGGCGTGGCCTTTCGAGGCAGCTATAAGCACAGCATCTGTGGATTGCTTGCTGAATCTTAACA